AACAACTGGAACAACAACAAAAACAGCAGCAGCAGTACCACAAGCAACAGCCACATCAAATCCCCTTTTTTTTTGTTGTTATTGTTCCTTTTTGAATAGGTGGGAGAAGCCTCGAGATTCCAATGACATCGTCTAATTCCAATCCGTTGCTTGTTGACCCGTCGATTGTGTCAATATCTGATAGCGATGCCACCAGAAATGGAACTCCGCCGAGTATTTTACATCTGCATCTTTCAGGATCGTCTGCAATTAACAGTCTGAATCCTGGAAATGTCTTGAGCAAATTGTTGGATAGTGCTATGGCTCATGCTGCGAAAGAGTCAACTCCTGAAAGGGAAAAACAAGCGAAACAAGCGAAAGAAGCGAAAGAAGTTAAACAAGCTAAAGAAGCTAGAGAAGCTAAAGGCGCCGCTACGGAAAGGGGAAGACAAGCTAAAGACGTTGCTGTGGAAAGAATTTTGGCTAATCTGGACGACTTTGAAGATGACACCTTTTTGAATATTGTACCTGTCAAGAAGCAAGGTCAGGAACTCATATACACTGTGAAGCAATTGCTTCAATTGAGGGACGAAGTCGAGGCTCTTGAGTTTGGAGACAAGTTGCCTGAGTTGTCGTTTTGGAGACTAAAACCAGTAAGAGAAGCAAACTTGAGACATTTACTGAATGGAGAACATGGTGGTAGTTATAAGGGGAAAAAATTCAAGAGACATCTGCATGAAACTTGGGAGAGAGGAAAAAACTATAATAATAGCAACAACAGCAATAACAACAATAACCATAATAATAGCTTAGAAAATAAAGAGAATCAGGGATTTGGACACCATAATCGTCATGGGTTTAATAAAGCGCAAGAGTTGGACTCTCTATCGAGCGAAAAGATATCGGAGTTGTTGGGTGAAGGTCCCGACGAATTGGAGCCGGAATGGGAGGACGTTGATGGTGGTGCCATATCGGGGAAAAGCACCCATAGTGGAATTCTTGGCTCCAACGATGACTCGATACATATGTCAATGTTGAATATGGGTCGTACCGTTGAAGATTTCGAGAAATGGAAATCTCAAATGAAACTAGAAGAAAGGAAAAGAAACGGTTACGTAGTTGACGAAGAAACAGAACAACTGCAGTTGGCACTGGAAGAGACAGCTGCAGTTAATGCAGGAAATGAAGTTGATAATTTTTTTACTTTTATTAAACAAAAGCCAAAGAAAGAAGCAATTGAGACGGGTGTGGTTTCAGATGAAAGTCACTCATCAAATACCAATAGGTCATCCAGGTTCTCGTCATTTTTCCAACAACCAAGTGGGCTGCAACTGCAACTGCAACTGCAACCACAACTGCAACCACAACTGCAGCCACAACCACAACTGCAACCACAACCACAACTGCAAGAGCAACTGCAACTGCAACTGCAAGAAAACATAAAGTCTGAAGAACCAAACTTGCAAACTCAACCAGTACGGCAAAAGAGCGTTCTGGGACCTCCTCCAGGATTTTCCAAATTTTTTGGTGGATCGCAACCAAATAATACTCAAACATCGGAAGCTGCACATCCTCCGCAATCAGCACCGGATGATCAATCACCAATAGAAAGTGAACAACAGCAACAATCTTCATTGCAGAGACACAAGTCATTCGTACTGTCACAACATTCGTCGCTTTATACATCAAATGACAGCTTTTTCCTTTCCTTATTGAAGAAAAAAGAAGCTTCCCAATCTCCCTCACAAATCTCACAATCCATTACCACAGCAACAACAACAGCAACAACAACAACCACTACCACCACTACCACTACCAACGAAAGTCCAGATTCCAAGGCTACATTTGATCAATTACAAAACCAATTGGAGAACCGTGAAGATTTCAGTGAAAACAAAACAAGCAAAGAAGGTCCACCTGCAATTCAAGAGCACAAGCAACAGCAGCAACAGCAGCAGCAGCAGCAGCAACAGCGACTTCCAAGTCATTTTAACCACATTCTTCCACAGGGACAACTTTATCATCAGCCATTACCACAGGGCAATCAAATTCCATTTTGGATGCTTCCACCACAATTACAGATGAGAGATCAAGCATCTGGATTTCCACCAAAGCAACAACAGCAACAGCAACAGCAACAGCAACAGCAACATCAGTATCAACACATTCCGCAAGATCAATTACACGAATTGCAAGATCAAGCCAATCGAAGTGAAAATCGTGAAGGAGCGTTACCAAATCATGTTCAGAATCAACCTCGTCCTGGTCAACAACCATTTCCCTTGCCACAAGGTAGTGGTATGCCTCCTCCTCCTCCACCTCCAGGTATGTTTCCTAATAGATTTGCACCACCACCTCCGCTACCTCCTCAGGGAGGTAATTTTCCACCATTGCCTCTCGGTTTTCCACCTGGATTTGTTAGGATGGGATTTCCACCACAATTTGGAAATCAACAACAACTGCAACAACTGCATCAGCAGCAGCAACAACAACAACAACAACAAAATCCAAATATGATGGTGTCACAGTATCCAGAACATCAGCAGCCACCTCCACAGTTTCAACAACGACTACCTTTTGATCCACAGCATCAACAGTAGTAGTAGTAGTAGTAGTAGTAGTAGTAGCAACTGTATGGATAAAATTGTATGGGGAATTAGATGGCACTTGATTTTACCTTAAAAAGCGTTTTGAGATATCATAAATGTCATTGCTTTATATTAAGAGATGAGATTCATTAATTTTACATGCCAAATAGTCTTTTTTTTTTTACTATTTTATCCTACATAACTTTAGAAACTTGGAGCACCAAATTGAGCAATTGAATATGCTCGTCTGTACCGATGTTCAACTTTTTATCTGTGTCAAATAAGATGATTGCAATTTTGTTTTTAGTAAGTGAGCTTATAGTGTCATCCATTATTAACTGTTCATGTAGTTGATCAATTAACTGTTGTGTACTCCAACCACTTAATATAATATCATCAACTATCTGTATTAATTTTTCTTCGTCTTTTCTTTTGATGATACTTATCATTTGCGAGATCAAAGTATCTGGTAATATTCCAGCCGTTTCTCTGATTGATGCTTTTGTAATCACACCCACGTTTGTCTCCGCGTTCCCATTTTCTAACTTTAGACTTGTACTCAATTTCGAAGCACTTTGTAAGTAAGTAATTGCTTTCCTCAAATCACCATTACTAATTCTTAACACTTCATTCAACACCTCATCGTCCGACTCGGGTCCTCCTGAAGTATCCAAGTACAAATTCTCTTCTTTGGCAATAAATTTCAATCTGTTTAATGAGTTTTCATTATTCAACGATTTGAACCTAAACTTTGAACATCTCGAAGCCAAGGGATCGATAATTCTGGTGATATAATTACAAACTAAAGCAAATCTGGTGATATTTGCATAAGTTTCCATTGTTCTTCTCAAAGCACTTTGTGCGTCGTTTGTCATTGAATCAGCCTCATCCAATATAATAATCTTATAAGGCGGACATGGATAATTTTTCAAGTCCTCTTCACTAGGATTACTCACAGTCAATTTAGCAAAATTCTTAATTTTTTCACGTACAATAGATATACCTCTTTCGTCACTTGCATTCAATTCCAATACTCTTGATTTATATAGATTGGGGCCGTACAATTGTTTGGCCAATGCTAGTATAGTTGAAGTTTTTCCAGTCCCTGGTGGTCCATAAAATAACATATGAGGTAAGTTACCCGTTGATACTTGTTGTTTCAAAACTTTCACTGCATGGTCCTGCGATGCTATATCATCGAGTTTTTTCGGTCTATATTTTTCAATCCATGGTGTATGATGAAGTTTTTCCTCCTGGTACGTTGTACCTGCTACTTTATCCGTAGTCATTCTCCGTCTTTCCCTGTTTAAACCTTCTTCAATCTACTTTCCTCAAGTATAACGCGTCTGGAATTTTTCAGAAAAAAAAATCTCACTGTGAAGACCAAAGTTACTGAGATGAGCTTGGAGTGTAGTAGAGCTGGAGTGAAGTAGAGCTTGAGGTGTAGTAGAGTTACTGAGATGAGCTTGAAGTGATGTAGAGCTTGGAGAGTAGTAGAGTTACTGAGCTGATCTAAGCTGATCTGAGTTGATCTGAGCTGTGCCAAAAGTCTCTTTGTCTCTTGTCTCTGTCTCTTTCTTCACTCTGCTTTGCCTACCTTCTTTCCATCATTTGCAATCTCTTTATTCCCTTTAACTAAATCTTTCTATTCTCCTTTTCTACTTTTTCCATTCTATTTTTCAACCTCTCTACTCTTTCTGGTATCCCTGGTATCTCCATTATCGACACTATCGAGCAGAGCGAGATAGTGGAGCAGCACTGACTGCCACTATCAACACTATCGAGCAAATGAGATAGTGGAGCAACACTGACTACACCGACACTACTCCGTTCTACCCTCACTCTACACTCATTCTACCCTCACTCTACACTCATTCTACCCTCACTCTACACTCATTCTACCCTCACTCTACACTCATTCTACCCTCACTCTACACTCATTCTACCCTCACTCTACACTCATTCTACCCTCACTCTACAAACAACATCTTCGACTTTATTACTCCCTACTCTCCTTTCTCAACCGTTCAATGCCTATCCCTCTACCCTGAGACCACCTACTCTAGACTTTGTTTTTCCTTCACTCAATTCTGATTACTACTACTCACACTCTCTCTTTTACTCACTCACACACTCTCTCTTCTCTCTTTGGACTAGACTTGTTTCACTCGTCTAGTCTCTCTCTCTCTCTTTCTCTTACTATTCTACAATCCTCTTCTCTGTTGTAGATGCACTCTATTTAGTTCTACTCTACTCTACACTCCCTTCTCCCCATTTGTCCCTTCTCTCCATTCCTCTCTACTCTAAACTCCCCATTCTCTTCACAAACGTCGCCTTTGGCTCTGCTACGCCTTTGACTCCGCTACACCTGCTTACAATTTAACCACACAAGGAAAAAACTTGCTATACAAATTCTTATCTTTTCCTTGTAAATTCATTTAGAATATCTAAAATACATTGTTGGTTTTAAAGCAACATTTGGTAATTGCTGTCTGCTGAGTCTTTTCCTGTTGGCTCCATTTGCTGGCCTCGTTTATCGATTCTCCTGTTGGTTTGCTTGCTGGCCTCATTTATTGATTCTCCTGTTGGTTTGCTTGCTGGCCTCATTTATTGATTCTCCTGTTGGCTCCATTTGCTGGCCTCGTTTATCGATTCTCCTGTTGGTTTGCTTGCTGGCCTCATCCTCTTGGGTTCACCTTTTTTGCTCATCCTCACTGTGCTAAATAAATCTGTATTATGATGTCTGTGGAATCACTTTTGAATAATGTGCCTTACGCTAACTTAAACAGAAAGAGTTTGGGCTTTATTTCACCCAAGATTATTAAATGGAGGTTTACAGACTTGATCTTGTTAGCACTATTGGTCATTTGTTATTTCTTCATCTACAATATAAAACCATTCCACCGTCAATTCTCACTTTATGATGCTACAATTCAACATCCCTTCAAAGAAAGAGAAACAGTCAACAATATTGAGTTGTTTCTCTACTCTACCTGGATTCCACTTATAGTGATACTTGTTACTGCACTTGTATTGACAAGTCCAAAATACAGATTCTACAACACCTATGTCGCCGCACTTGGCTTGTTACTTTGTGTCCTCATAACTTCCAACGTGACAGATGTATTGAAAAATCTAATTGGTCGCCACCGCCCAGATTTCATTGCCAGATGCCAGCCAGATCCCTCTGTGCGAACCGAAGCCTTGGTTTCAATTGAGGTTTGTACAAACACAGACTTGAACTTGTTGGAAGACGGTTACAGAACTACACCCTCAGGTCACTCCTCGATAAGCTTTGCAGGGTTGGTCTACTTGGCATTGTTTTTAATGGGTCAGTTCCAGGCTAATGACCCAAGAGCAGGCAGTTGGAGGGCACTCTTATTTGGTGGTGCCCCATTGATGGTTGCAACTTATATCGCAATGAGTAGAACTGAGGACTACAGGCACCACTTTGTGGATGTTATTATTGGGGGCTTGTTGGGTTTCTTCATTGGCTCGTGGTCGTATTTGAGATTGTTTCCCTGGATATCTGACAAGAGAAGTTTTAGTAACTTGCTTATGATAGAGGAAGAAAAGGCTGAAGAGAGAGCCAAGCGTAACGATGACAACAACGACACTGTTTTAGAAGATGTATAAAAGTAAAAAGAAAAAAAATTCAATGTATGTATATCTACAATCTTGTTGTTTTTTGGTTTTTTTTTATATATAATAAGAAAGACTTTTCTTTTGATCACATTAAAGTGGTTCGACCTCCAATTTCATTACTTGCAGATCCATCGGGCATGTTTCCATCTCTTCCATCAACAAATTGTGAGTAGATTCTACGAAGTTTTGTTTTCTCAGACTGAGAAATGGATGGCTTGGTCTCCCGCAACGAGTCTATGAAGTTCTCCTGCGTTATCAACATCTTTGGTTGCTCAACTTTCTTTTTTCCTGAATCATTAGTGGTTTCCTTTGCCCTATTCGATTTCTCATTGTTAAGAAACTGCTGAATCTGGTGCAAAAGTTTAACTCTTTCTGAACTCTTCATTTTTGACTCTTTCTCGTTTCCTACTTTAAAAAACTCAACCGAAGATTCATCCTCTTTTGCCAGTTCAGAGTTTTCTTCCTTTTCTAATGCATCTAGTCTCACATGTACAGCTTTCAAGTATGCGTTATATGCCAATCCCTGCATATCAGCCCCACTGAATCCAGCGGTTTTTTTGGCAATCTCGTCTAAATCAACATTCTCCTCCAAATCCATCTTTGTAGTTATACTCTTCAAAATGTCTAGTCTATCTTCGAAATTCGGCATGTCACATATTACGCTCTTGTCCAATCTACCTGGCCTCAATAATGCACTATCAATCAAATCTGGTCTCGAAGTTGCAGCTAATACATACACACCATCCAAACCTTCTGCACCATCCATTTGTGTCAACATTTGATTCACCACACGGTCAGTAACACCAGTTGAGTCATGTCCTCTCTTTGGCGCAATGGAGTCAAACTCGTCAAAAAACAAAATGCATGGTTTTGCCGCTTGTGCTCTTTCAAAAAGCTCCCTGACACTTTGTTCTGAAGCACCAATGTACTTGTTCAAGATCTCAGGACCTTTTATCGAAATAAAATTCAATCCACATTGTCCTGCTATTGCACTCGCTAGTAAAGTCTTCCCACATCCTGGGTAACCATAAAGTAAAATACCAGACCTCAACCTTAAGGGACAATTGGCAAATATAGGCGCATATTTAGTTGGCCATTCCAACGTCTCTAATAATATTTTCTTGGCATCAGTAAGCCCCCCAATATCAGACCAACTTGTTCCAGACTTTTGTAATTTAACTCCGCGTAAACTAGATGGCGTGTAACCGCTCAATGCCTTGTCAACGTGCTCCTCCAGTACAACGTGATGATGATGATGATGATAATTGCTATTACTATTATTACTATCTTCTTCTTTTTCTTTTTCTTTTTCTTCTTCTTCTTCTTTATCCTGCTTCTCCATTGAATCTGAATCCGCTAGACATTGATGATATATTCGGTGGGACAATATTTTCAAGTCATTTGGTAAATAACCTTCTGTCTCACTTACCAAGTCCATCAAATCCATACTTATTTCGCATCCCAAGTTATTGACCAAGTTACCTTCCAAAATCTTATAGCGTAAAGCCTTGTCTGGCGCATTGATGTGAATGTAGTTTTCAATTAAATGCGATCCCAAAATTAACTTATTAACACTTTCTTTAGATACTGCGGAACATAGAATGGAAACATTTGAATTCTTTTGATTGTGCAACTTGGTCAATTGCGATATAAAGTATTCTGTTGTCTGATTTGATTTTGTTGCATCCATATTCTCCGTCTCCACATTCATGATTTTATCTATATTATCTAAAACCAATAATGATGGTTGATTCCAAGAACATTGTTGTAGCCATTTGAATACGTGATTCTTGGAAAGATTTTGGTAGTTTTCATTCATAAGCGACTCGCAGGATATGTGCTTGACAAAGTATCCATACTCCTCATTCAACCGATTACCAATTTGTTTGAGATACAAACTTTTCCCGCTTCCGGAGCTCCCATACACCAAAGTCCCTGTGTTTTCAGATACCAAAAATGAATCCACTATATCATCTATTGTTTCATTAATTCCGATAGGCGTCTCATCGATGCTTTTATCCAGTGTGTAGTCCTGTTTATTGTTTATCTCCTGTATTACAAACGATTGCGGGCGAAACAACTCGTCGGCAAGTTCAATTCTAATCGGCTTCTTCTTTTCAAGATCATATGGTTTGATCCAAGCGTTATAATTATCGTTACTTCTAAATTTAACAAGCCCTCCATAAGGAAGAACACCAGGAATTGCTCGTATCTTGACAAAATTTGTAATGGCCGTATCTGCAATTTGAGGGTAAAGAGCATCTTTCAACATTTGAGCAGATTTCAAAGTTTTGGTTTGGTTGATTTCCTTTTTCTTGTTTGAGTGGATGGTGTAAGGATGAATTACAAATGTAGAGGGCCTCTTGGACAAGCTTTTTATTGCCGGCCTCAAGGCAATGATGTTACCAATTTGGCCTTGAATGTTTAGAGCTATTGCCAAATCCTGAGACAACCCAATATTACCCAGCCCTCCTTTGTAATCCACCAATTCGGCTATGATTCTTCTGTTTTCCTTCACATCCTTTCCACCTCCTCCCTCGACTACCTCCTTGTCCAACGTGTTTTTATATTCATTTGGACCTGGTACTACTGCAATTGCTGCAAAAGTGTCAAATGTATCTTTGGGCAACTGATCCAAGTCAATAAAGATCTTGAACCCCGTATCAAGTTTGTTTGCATCTCTATACAAGTTATGAGGAAGACATACCCCCCTTTTCAAAAGCAAGGCTGTGCCACTATAATCCTCCATTTTTTTCCCATTACTTTTCAAACTGGCAACACTCTTTGTCTCTGTTACTGTTTCCTTCTTCTTCCTCACTTTGGGTGCTATTGCTATCTCACAATATGGTGAAATCTTGGCAAACTTGTGCGAGGTGGTGCCGATATCAGTGACAACCAATTTCGCTGACGTTGTAGAACTTGGGTATACCACGAGTATTTGGTTCATGGCCACACACCTGGTTTGATTCAAGAGTTTATCTTCGATTAGCTGTGCGTTTAGTTCAACCACTTCCCAATCTGAGCTGGTCAAGGGCTCCAAATTGATATTTGAAGTTTCATAATTTCCCAATTTTAAATTGATCACCACGCTCGACTTATCCCTAATCTGCAAGGCCTGAGCAAATACAGGATCAATCTCAACGCTTTGCACTATCGATGAAGACATTCCCGACCACCCCGCATAATAACGCTGCTGCTGCTTCTGCTGCTGATTGTCTTTTGGACAAATTTCAACAATCACATCCTGCACTTGAATATTCGCAGTGAACAATAAGTTCACCAAGTTCGATGGAAGATTTACCAAATTCGACTTTAAGGTCCGATACTCAACAGTCGCCCTGTGGTTATCCATGATGACCAAAGAACAGAAATGCTAATGCTAGAAAGAAAAGCACTTGTTAAATTCACTATATTACCTTTTGAAAGAATGTGAATTATATTTCACCTCTCCGCAAAAGCTTCATTTTTATTCAATTTTTTTCGCCTTGTGGGTTCGTACGAATTCCGCGGTTCCGCGGTTGCGCACACGTCGAAAAGGCGGGGGGGAATGGAGGGGGGGAATGGGGCTGGAGGGCGGCTAATAGGGCTGGAGGGCGGCTAATAGGGCGAGAGAATGAGGAAAGAGAAATGAGTTATATAAAAGAGAATTGTAAGTCTTGTTATTGCACTAGCGACATATATAGTTTTACTGGTGCTTCGTTTCACTATTGTACCGGTGATTGCTGTTCGGATCTGCTAGCATTGGTTGGTTATCTATTTCCTATTGTTAAACTCCTGAAATTTTGCAAAATTCTCATCCTTCAGATGGCTTGCACTCAATTCGGCAAGCTTCTTTCTATTCCTTTCTTCCTTCTCCCGCTTAGCTTTCTCCATCACTTCAAAGGACCTTCTTCTTAGCGATCTGCACTGTTCCCATCCAACCAAATTACCTAAAAAAAAACCTCCTACCGACCAGTTTAGCGACTTGCCCACATTCTTGTGCACTAAAAATGTAACGATACCCAAGACCCCCATTGCTTGAAATCCAGTTATCATCGCTTCTCGAAAACATGGCATACTCACAAATCGATCAATATTAAAATCCGATAGTTTTATTAACTTTGCGGCATCTGTCAATGTAGGCTGACGCAGCGGCGGCGGCCTACTCGAGCCACCGCTAGACTCTGAATCTTCGAATTTGGGAGGTAAATCTTCCAAATACTGCTGCTTCGGTTTTGAAGCTTCTTCATTGTATTCGGAAACTATTGACACCTTCGATGGTGGTGCGGAAGTGCTAGAGCCCAGAAACCAACCCATGACAAAGTAGCAAAAAAGAAAGAAAGAAAGAGAGAGAGAGAGAGAGAGAGAAAGAGCCGTTTGGAAAAACACCTATTCCTGAACTTAGTTGGACCTTCTTCTTCTTCTTACAAGCTCTTTCCAAACAAGATCCGAAAACCAAAGTTGAAAAATACCTTGATGAAAAATCTCATTTGGTAGCTCTGGGTTGAAAATGAGCTGGAAGAGGTAAGAGGGAAGATGCAATATGGAGGAGGAAAGAGTAACATCGTAGTTGGAGCGTATTAGTAGTAGAGTCTAATTAGAGCGTATTATTGATTACCAGAAAATCAAGGCAGGTTTCTTTGCTATGACACGAATGAACTAAAATTACCTTTATGTAGATAACCTCTATTACTATTTGGCTCTAATTATAAATAATGGATATCTCACCAGGTATATAATTCGGCAAACTTGTCTGCTTGTCTGGGTATATATATGACTTCTTCTAGCACCACCAAAAAAGGTTATTGGTTAGTAGGCACGGGCTCAAGTTTCAGTTGCCAACAATGTAAGCTCGACACTATCGAGCAGAGCGAGATAGTGGAGCACCATTGACTAACAGGTAAGCTCGCCACTATCGAGCAGAGCGAGATAGTCGAGCACCATTGACTAACAGGTAAGATCGCCACTATCGAGCAGAGCGAGATAGTCGAGCACCATTGACTAACAGGTAAGATCGCCACTATCGAGCAGAGCGAGATAGTCGAGCACCATTGACTAACAGGTAAGATCGCCACTATCGAGCAGAGCGAGATAGTCGAGCACCATTGACTAACAGGTAAGATCGCCACTATCGAGCAGAGCGAGATAGTCGAGCACCATTGACTAACAGGTAAGATCGCCACTATCGAGCAGAGTGAGATAGTGGAGCACCATTGACTAACAGGGTGCCTCTAACGACCATCTGAGTGTCTAACGGGGCCAAAAACGATGCTAGACTATCCAAGTATCTCTGCTTTATAAGCTCTGACTAGTGAGACCAACCAGTGAGACCAACCGTGCGTCTATTAGTTCCTACTACTATCCATTAGTATTGATTTCGTCTTGGTCCCAAATGCAGCTCTTATTACCATCAAATTCGTCAAAACATTCAATTATCGTCTTGATATTGTCTATAACATTACTGATAGAAACTCTTATAACTCTATCGCTTATCCCTGAAAATGTACAAATTAAACTAGTATTTTCAACATCAAAATCAACATTCAATTCACTCTGTTTTAACACTGGATCTGGAGATAGAGAATTTCTGGCTATATTCGCTTGTCTTGATGTCTCAAATGGAACTCTCAAGACCAACGACGGCATCGTATATTCATACAAAATCCTAGCTACTACTCTTGAAAAGGAAAAAAAGCATAATATTGAAGGAGATGAGATGAAAAAAAGAATATCGACACTATCGAGCAAAGCGAGATGTTCCACTCTATTCTACTCAAAACTATCGAGAGGGATATAGTGTTCCACTCTATTCTACTCTACACTAGCGAGATAGTGTTCCACTCTATTCTACTTTACACTAGCGAGTTAGTGTTCCACTCTATTCTACTCAAAACTATCGAGAGAGAGATAGTGTTCCACTCTTCTACTCAAAACTATCGAGAGAGAGATAGCGGAGCAGCATTGACTAGCTTGTTACTCGATAGTGGAGCAGTATTGACTAGCTTGTTACAACACCATCTTGCTCTACTCGATAGTGGAGCAGCATTGACTAGCTTGTTCTATAACCATCTGGCTCTCCTCGATAGTGGAGCAGCATTGACTAGCTTGTTGTCATACTATCTCGCTCTGCTCGATAGTATTTCTAGCTTGTTACAACACCATCTCGCTCTGCTCGATAGTGTCAATGTGCTGTTCGATAATGTCAATGTGCTGCTCCATAGTCTATAGCTATTGAGTCAATGCTATCTTTTCCTGTTCCAAACTCTTGTACAACTCCGCCTGGTGAGCAATTTCATCTTTGACTTTCTCGATATACACATCTAATCGATTGAGCTCATCTGTTTCATCTGGCCTTATATATTCCTGATCTCGCTTATCCGGGCTCGATAGTTTGTAAGGAATCAAGTTGATTGGTTTTTTCGTTAAAATCTCAAAAACCTTGTCTGTTGGCTCATTAAACACCAATTCGTCATACAACACCAGGTGCACTTCTCCGTTTTCTCTTTTTGGATGCTGTGGATTGTAGGGATGCAACTTCAAGGCATGGAAAATCTGAAAGTTTTTCTCATTTATCCCCAAATCAACACCTGGGTGGAAATGAAGCTTGATAATGATTTCAAATTCCCCCCACCCTGTTTCTGTGACTTGATACGGTGGCCGCTCAACAGTACGTATAGGATTCTCATATGTCTCGTGTAGCTTAAACGTCACTTTCTTAAGCAAAGGTGTCAAGTCAATATCTCCCAAAACTGGTTTGAAAAACACTGTCCATTCATGAGTATGGTCCTGGGGCGTCGTTGCTTTTCGCGTTTCCGGGGTGAGCTTGTAAGCATGATTCCCATATAACACCGGCAATGATATAGAAACAAACTTGATCCTTCTAGAACTAGCACTCATATCAACCTATAATACAACCTACAACTATCGGTCTCGTCTTGCCTCGTCTCGTCTCCTCTTGTCTCCTCTTGTCTTGTCTCCTCTCCTCTCCTAATGCTTACTACAAACTTCCTTAAAGGGCTCCTTGTTAATTTTTCACTATTCATCGAGTGCTACCATATGTTTCTCTTCAACGCGTTTTCTTTTTTCCCGTTTCCAAACTTTAGTAGATTGATCTACTTGCAATAAAGTAGAAAGTCGGTTCGATTCAAGAGCTGTCAAGGGGGGAAGGTAAGAGGATAGGCACTTGTTAGTTGTTGCCATAAGTCCAGCACAGAATGGCCGCGACTTTGACGGGAAGGAAGAGGAATTATGAAGAATTTTCCCTGGATAGTAATGTATGTCAAAATTCCAACTACCCAGAAAAAGGGGACAAGGTTTGTTGTTACTAACATTTTTGAATAACAGAATGCCGACTCAAGCATGCGTGACCAACTTTCCAGACAAATTTCGGATCTACAGCACTCCTCGAGGCAAAACCAAGCATTTGTGACCCTGGGGGTTTTAAGCAATGGCAGTGATGAAAAAGGTGGTGCTGCTGGTGTCGGTGGTGCTGCTGCTGGTGTTACTGCTAGTGCTGGTGCTGTCGGTGGTGCTGCTGCTGGTGCTTCTGCTGCTGCTGCTGCTGCTGCTGCCTCTGCTGCTTCTGCTGGTGCTGCTTCTACTGGTGATACTGAAGCTGATAGTGAGTCTTTAGAGTCGGCAGAGTCCACGGATTCGGATGACGAGTCCGATAACGAGTTTGACGACGATGGCGAAAACGAAAACGCTGACTCTAACGGAAACGCAATGTCGCCTGCCGAAGCCGGTGTAATTGAAAAATTAACATTGAAAAATTTCATGTGTCACGATTTTTTCGAATTAGAGTTGGGTCCTCAAATCAATTTCATAATTGGCCGAAACGGTTCGGGGAAAAGTGCTATTTTAACAGGAATATTGGTGGGTCTTGGTGCTAAGGCCAGTGACACCAATAGAGGAAGCTCCATTCGAGATTTGATAAAGGACAGTAAGAACACTTCTCGTATATCTGTTGTTTTGAAAAACGAAGGTGTTTGGGCTTTCAAACCCGAGGAATATGGTAGGAAGATTATAATTGAGCGCAAGCTACAAAGAAATGGGAGCAATACGTATGCGATAAAATCTGAAGAAGGCAAAACGGTATCAACAAAGAAGGCGATTTTAGAGGAAATACTATATCAATTCAACATCACCATTGATAACCCGTTAGCCTTTTTATCTCAAGATAAAGCGCGTGAATTTTTAACATCAGCCACGGCAGAAACAAAGTTTGAATACTTTATGGACGGTGCATTCATTACCGATATTTGTAACAATCTCGACTTTACCAAGAGTAACATAGGAGAAATTGACAATAAGATTAAGCAATCAAAAGTCTATACAGCAAAGTGTAAGGCCGACTACAAAGCTATTGCTAAGATTTATAATTCTCACAAGAAACATGACTATCTCAGGGATAAGTTGGACTTGTTGAGCGGTAAAATACATTGGTTCAATGTGAATGCTATTGAAGAGAAAATCATGCGATTTTCAGCCAAGGCAGCCATGCTTGAAAGTCAAATAGATACAAAGAAGGCTGAAATCGAAGCTTTTGACAAGGAGATTGAACAAAAGATACCTGAGCAAAGTAGACTAGAAGGGGAGTGTGTCAAAGCAGAGAGCGACTTTGACTTTAAATCAAGGCAAGTGGAGGAAATGAGAGATGCAAGAAGCAAAGTTAAGGCTCAAATAAATGTCCTTGAGAAGGATATCAAAAAGAATCTACTGGCAATTGAGGATTTGAAAAGAGATATTGTAAAAACAGAAAAAAACATTGCACAAGAAAAGACAAAAATTGAAGAGCAGCAGGGTGGCTCAAAAGAACAAATGAAGGAGCAGTTGGCAAATGTTGTTGTCGAGATTAAACAAGTTGAACAGGAGATTGAAGCGGGGAGACAAAGGATCAAACAAATAGAGAGAAATCCCGACAGTCAACTAGAAGATCTTTCCAAGGCAAAGCAAGAAGCTAGTGTTAAAATACAAGAACTCAATATGCGACTAGTTGATTTGGACAGGGACCAAAATTCCCACTATGCGCCCTGGGGTGCAAGTAGAATGCAACTGATAAAACGTGATATTGACCGAGGACACTGGGTTGAAAAGCCAATTGGTCCAATTGGGAGTTTAGTCCTGGTCAAAAGGGAATTTGGGCCTTGGAAATTACTCTTGGACGCAGTGTTGTCCAAGACATTGGACTCGTTTATTGTGGCAAATGAAAAAGATCGACCAGTATTGCAACAAATTTTGAGAAAACATCAAGCTTACCACAATATCATGGTTAGAAAAACAGAAAGGTTTAGTCTTGATAACGGTAAAGCCGTTGTGGGAATTACAGTTATGGACATGCTCAATGTTGAGAATGAAGGTGCGTTGTACGCATTGATTGACTCGAATTCAATTGAAAAAATAATCATTGCACGATCTTCAGAAGAGGCAGAGAGATTGTGTCGCCAGTCAAACGTACATAGTGTCCTACTTCAGTTTCTGAGAGACTCTGGCAAACGAGTTAGCTTCAATGGAGACATACGTCTTGATCCGGTGTACTACCTGACCAAAGCTCCTAAATTTGGTACCACAAATAAGAATGAGTTGCTTGAGGAGATTAAGAGGGAAATAAATGAAGAGAAGCAAAACATCAACAATATAGAAAGGGAACTTCGTTCGTTGAAAGTACAAATAGACTCAGAAAGAAACAAACTTATAATCGAAGTGAATCTCTTGAAACAAAAACTCGACAAACTTAAGCAACTACGAAGTGCATTAGAGGATAAAATTGAAGCCGAGGTTGATTTTACCAATATAACAAATTTTGAAATGAGGGTAGAGGAGAATAATTTGCAAATCAAGCGTCTTGAACCTTTGAATGAAGCACTTGCAGAGGAAATTGAGGCAAAAAAGGAACGCTACAATATTCTCAATGCCGAAGTGAGAAAAGCTAAACAAGCAGCGGCAGATAGTCAGGAAAGTTTGGGTGCGGCTCGTAAAGCACTACGGACAGGATTTGAGTATTTAAAAGCTCTTGAGAGCGAAAAGATAAACCGTGAACAAGAAATCAGCAAGAACCAACTTGAGGTTGAGAATGCACGAGGTTTAGTAGCAAAAGGTACTCCTAAATTGATGGCTGAGATGGAAGAAGCGAAAAAAATCTGCACCAGGGAAGAAGCCGACATCAAGGAAAGTGATACCCAGGAGTCCATAAGTGACGAATATCAAGATATTATGCAACAGATTGCGATTTCAGAAAAACAAATAGGGTCAAATTTCGAAGAGATTGTGGAAAAGTTGAGGGAAGTAGATGAAGTTGTTAAAACCGCATTAGCAAATGAGAAGGAGTTGGAAGAGATACGGCGAAGATTGAACGAGGAATTAGTGGTAAGGCGCAATTTTCTAAGTACTACAGTAAACCATCAGATAAAGACGGCGAAGAAATCATTTGAAAGCTCAATGGATTTGCGAGGTTTCAAAGGATCAATAAATTTGAATTTCATAAAAAAGACATTGGATATATTAGTAAAGACAAAACAAGACGTTGAGGAGAGAAATGCTGATGGCAGATCAGTTGAGTCATTGTCAGGGGGGGAGAAATCATATACTCAAATTGCTTTGCTTTTGGCTATTTGGCAAACTATGAATTCAAAAATTCGTGGATTGGATGAGTTTGATGTTTACATGGATTCAGTTAACCGGTCCATTAGTATTAAGTTATTATTAAAAAATTTATTAAAGTATCCCAAATCACAAAACATATTCATCACTCCTCAGGATATTGCTGTAGTTGGTGATTTGGACAATGAATGTGTCAAGATTCATAAGATGTCAGATCCCAGAAGAACTTAAGCGTTTAAGGTTTTTTATGTACAAGTAGTTATTTTGATAATATTGTCAAATGCGTTTTTGTAGCTGTTGTTGTCATTGTAGTCGTAGTTGTTGTTGTTGCTGTCGTCGCTTTCGAGTTTTTTTTGGAAACTTTGATGTTGATCTTGAGTAACATACAAGTGACGATCCGTTTCATTATAAGTCAGCAATTTACTCAAGTAAGTTACAAGGTCAGCTTTATTTGTGAACGAAGACGATAAAAGGAATAGTATGTAACTTTTTAATACTTGGATATTGATGTGGCCCTTATTTGCATTTTTATAATAATTGAAAACCTCTTGGGCAAATTCGTAATCTGCTTTACTTTCCCTGTGTATCGAGTCGAATATGCTAATGAAATTTTGATTTCGCAATGCATTTCGTTTTGTAGTATTATTGCGTAAGGTTTTTATAAAAGTGAAAGCTAATCGTGGATTGCTCATTTGACATAATGCAGATACAATATAGATGCTAATTGCCACATGACTATTTAATGTAAAATTTATAAGGGTATGGATATTATTGTATTGTTGATTATTTGCTTGAAAGTACTCCACCAACAAATTGGTGAAATTAGGCAAGTCTGTGTTTACCAAAGAAATCGATATAAGTGGATTATTCAGTGATTTAGTAATACTAGTAGTAGCAGTAGTAGTAGCAGTAGCAGTAGCAGTAGTAGTAGTAGCATTTGATGGTAATGACGATGATGATGTTGAATAAACATTTCTTTGAATAATGGGGTCATACTTTTCAGTTTGAGAAATCTGACAAAGCAACTTTTGATGAACGTCCAAGGTATGCGTTGACTCAAACTCGACTTTGTACTGGTTATTTTGGATGTTTTCATCTCTCCAGCTGATATTCTTCTCTTGAGTCTCTTTAATCCTATTGGTATTCCTTTTACTGCTCTCTCTAGTAGCAAATGCCAAATTCTTAAATGCTAGCAATGCCTTTTCCAAATTTCCCGATTTTGAATACGTTTCCACCAACAAAATTAGTATTGTTTGGTATATATCCAGGTGAGCAGCAAAAGAATAAAATCTTCGAAAGTATCGTAAAATGCCTTCCAATCTTGCTGAATCCTCGTTGTTAGCAAATACTATGGCCAACTGGGATAATAGTGAACAATTGATCAAGAAAGGAACGAGATTGTTTTCTTGGACACCATAAGTAATTTCCTCATAAAATTGATGATTATCCAAAAGTTCATGATAGATGAACATTGCACCAAGATAGTCGGCTTGTTTGCAAACATGGTCAGTGATTATTGACCATAGCTGGTTCGGTATTTGATAACTATTGTTATTTTCCAAAAGGAAATGTTGTAGTGAAAGAGCAGCTTTGAGGTTTTTAGATTCAAGTAAATTAAAAGTGAACAAAACCAATAGTTTAACGTCTAAATACTGGTGGTTCTGACACACAAATTTGTAGACATCCAATTGATGAGAATGGTTTGCAAGCATCCATTGGAATTTGAAATCTGTATATATAGTCGGATTCTCCAAGACTAATTGAGACTTTTCCAGTTCAGAAAGTTTAAAAAACTGTACCGTGGAATTGGAATTAGAATCCTGAGACATAAAGTGGAAACGACGCCAACTTTCATTCAATGGGTATTGTATATATGAAGTAGCACCATTCAACACAGCTCGTCGTGCACATCGTACTAGCAAGCCAAACGGTCGTACTCCCGCACATCGTACTAGCAAGCCAAACGGTCGTACTCTTTCCCATCTATACATACTCAATCTGTCACCAAAAAAGAACAATGTCCTCTTGACAAGTTCTTCTCCTTCTCCTTCTTCTTCTTCTTCTTCGTATCTTTAAAGGTTTCAACCATTTCAAAATATTTCAGGTAGCGTCTTTGAAGGAAAAAAAAAAAAGTTGAAAAATTGAAAAGTTCACCGTTGAAGGGTGGAAAGAAGACTATTGGTCATACTTGAAAAGGGCCATTTTCTTCTTATTTTTGAGACTAGGAGATTGTTCAGTATGCTAAGGTTTGGGGTTTTGCGTTGCTCTAAATCATTTGTTCTAAGGAGCCGATTTAAGTCGCCGTCTTTATCGTTATTGCAAAGATCAACTATTCTATCCTCATCGAGTGTTCGTTTCAATTCCACCACCACTACCAGCACTGACGCAGCATCAGAAATCAAGGATAAATTGGTTTCGTTTAGCGATGAGGTCTCTAATGCACAGTCTGCGGAAGTTACGACCCATTTACACTCTGACCAACTTGGATACTTACAATCGATTGGCTTAGGAGAAGGATGGGGACCAACAAGTATAGTTGAAAATTTGCTTGAAGTTTGTCATGTATACACTGGATTACCATGGTGGGGCACTATTGCAGCTGTGACTATTGCTGTGAGAGTAGTTATATTCCCACTTTATGTCAAGGCAAGTTCTAATGCCACTAAGATGTCCAAGATTAAACCACAATTGGATGAAATAATGAGAGACTTGAAGGACGAAGCAAATGAATCTATGCAAGACAAGATGAGACTCATGGAGAAAAGGAAAAGACTAATGAAAGAAAACGACGTTTCAACAATGGCTTCGTTTGCTCCTCTTGTTCAAGTACCTTTAGCTTACGGGTTTTTCCAAGCCTTGAGAAAAATGGCCAATTACCCAGTTGAGGGATTCCAAGATCAGGGTATATTATGGTTTCCGGATTTGAGTGCGGTTGATCCGTATTTGGGATTACAGACGATTGCCGCATTAGCTGTGATTATTGTTGTGAGAATGGGTGGTGAAACGGGACAACATGCAATGGCTAAAAGTATGAAACAGGTGATGACAGTGGTTCCATTAGCATCTATTCTCATTACAAAGGGTTTTTCGGTAGCTGTTGTATTGTATTTTGCAATCAACTCGATATTGTCATTAGTACAAAGCTTAATGTTTAAAAACGCAACAATGAGGCGTGTTTTGGGAATGCCAAAGAAATTCACGACTCACGAATTAAATGATCAGGCTCGATTGAGTAAAACAGACACTTCGATCAAGGATGTGTTTAGTAATTTCCTTGAAGACTCAAAGAAGAATACGCTTAAGAAGGCAAGAGATATGGAGAAGAAAATGGAGATTACTGCAAAGAGGAAAAATAGTGAGTACGATGGATATATAAAGAAGAGGAGGTGAATAATTTTCCATAGCTTTTGTAAATAGTTGGAAATAATCGACTCTATCGACACTATCGACACTATCTACACTATCGACACTATCGACACTATCTACACTATCGAGCGAAGCGAGATAGTGGAGCACACTAGCTGCTATCGACTCTATCGACACTATCGACACTATCGACACTATCGACACTATCTACACTATCGAGCGAAGCGAGATAGTGGAGCACACTAGCTGCTATCGACTCTATCGACACTATCGACACTATCGACACTATCTACACTATCGACACTATCTACACTATCGACACTATCGACACTATCGACACTATCTACACTATCGAGCGAAGCGAGATAGTGGAGCACACTAGCTGCTATCGACTCTATCGACACTATCGACACTATCGACACTATCGACACTATCTCGCTCTGCTCGATAGTGGAGCACACTAGCTGCCACAGACACTAGCTGCTATCGACACTATCTCGCTCTGCTCGATAGTGGACCATCGATGCTATCTCGGTCTACTCCAGCGAGATAGGCTATCAGGCATATTTTTCCATCACGTGACCCTTTCACCTTTTTTCACGTGATATGTATTTACTAGATTTATCTCCGGGCAATCTATTTTGTGTCTGTCAAAGTCATTAACTCCATCCATCATTATCAGGAGATGGTTTAACAAACTAAGCCTTATGTGGGAACACACAAACACACTCACACTCACACAGCCTTTGATGGTTTTTATTTCCCCTCCCTTGAGGGTTTTTGTTTCTTCCCCTTGTGGGTTTTGTTTCTTCCCATTGTGGGTTTTGTTTCTTCCCCTTGTGGGTTCTATTTCCTCTTCCTTGTGGGTTTTATATTATTAATATCATGATTAGATTTGTCTTTGAGAATTGATTGGTCAATGAAAAGTGGCTTTAGCAAAACTGGAATACATTATATTTCTTGTGTGGCCCCATACAAGAAATGAAACCACATGGCTTGTATTTATCTATTCCTTTCCATTAGAACATAAGTTTATAGAGTAACAGCACTTACCTGTTCTTACTTCTTACCCCTCCCCCCTGCCTAATTCTCGATCAACAACCAACACAAAAACTGTCGGTCATTACTCAATAGTATCGTAGTTTCAATGACAGTTATTACTCAATAGTATCGCAATTTCAATGACAGTTATTACTCAATAGTATCGCAATTTCAATGACAGTTATTACTCAATAGTATCGCTTAGTTACTCGACCGGAGTTAGAATATGTACGGAAAAAATTAAAAACATTTCTCCAAATAAATCCGATCAGTGGGGTAATAGAAACTTAAGGGGGGGTAAAAATAACGGCTTTATCTATAAATAGACTACGAGTTGTCCCCTTTTTTTTAACTTGAATTTAACTAAAGAGTAAGTAGTATTGGTTTTGAAGGTAATGTTTCAGTTACCATTGGTTCTATTGGCTGTATCGGCATTAATCTATAAACTTTTCTTCTTCTTCCAAGAACAAAAAGTTACTAAAAAGTATCAATGCAAGCCCATTAAGAAGGTACCAACCCCCAATCTTGCAAGCTATCTAGGCTTGGATTTTTTGGTTAATAGGAAGAAACAGCAAGAAGAAGGAAAACTTCATCACAATATGAATGAGCTTTTCCAAAAAATGAAAGTTTCAACCTTTAAAAATACGCTTTTGTTTACCTATTCCATTTTCACCATTGAGCCCGAAAATATCCGTTACATGTGTAGTTCGGCAAACTTTGATAGCTGGAACATTGGTGACAGGCCAAAGGCGTTCCATCCTTTGTTAGGTGATGGTATATTTTCAAGTGAGGGTACAAGTTGGAAACACAGCAGAATCATGCTTAGACCATTTTTCACCAAAGAAAATATTAAGCAAATTACTTTAATGGAACCATACGTTCAACGTGTCATTAAGTTGCTCAAGCAAAAACAAGGAAAAGTTGTCGATTTGCAAGAGATTTTCCAGTTTTTCACAATCGATTATACGACAAAGTTCCTCCTTGGTGAAAGTTGTGACGCTTTAAAAGATGCCCTTGGTGAAACCACGTCGAATGCGATAAATAAAGATTTGAAACTACAGTTTGCCGAGGCATTTGATCAAGCTTCTGAATCCTTGATGCTTAGAATGGCATTGGGCAAATACTTTATGTGGCTAGTCAATTCCAAACCGTTCCACCAAGCGATCAAAACTCAACACGATTTTGTGGAATACTATATTCAAAAGGCATTGGCATTGGATGAAGATGAGTTGACAAAGGTTTCTCAAAACAATTTTACCTTTTTATATGAAATTGCAAAACAAACAAAGGATAAGAGTGTTTTAAGAGATGAAATCATGAGTATAATTCTTGCTGGAAGGAATACAACAAGTTCGCTCTTGACCTTTTTGTTCTTTGAATTATCAAGGAATGAAGAGATTTATGAAAAATTGAAGCAAGAAATCAGACAAAAATTCACGTCTGTTGAATCTATTACTTTTGCAAGTATTCAGGATTGTGAATATTTACGTTGGTGCATTTACGAAACCCTCAGACACAGCCCTGCCGTTCCCTTTTCCTCTAAAACAGCAACCGTAAATACAATATTACCCACAGGTGGCGGAGAGGATGGCAAATCTCCAGTTTTTGTAAGGAAAGGCCAAAAAGTCATTTACTCCATGTTTACAGCAAACAGAACCCCAAAATACTTTGGCGCAAAGACAGAGGAATTTATTCCTGAAAGATTTGCTGAGTTACCCAAAAGTGGTGGAAGCGCATTCATGCCATTTAGTACGGGGCCAAGACTTTGTTTGGGTCAACAGTTGGCTCTTACTGAGACAAGTTATATGACTATTAGACTATTACAAACTTTTGATCTGATTAAACAAGCACCTAATACTCCATATCCACCAAGAACTAATTTTAGTGCTACCATGAGATTGATGGATGGTTGCCCAGTTTTAGTTGACTCGAAAGTTGAAGCTTAGGTGTCCTTCTTCTCCTCCTGCTCCATATGCACACACACACACACACGCACATCATTCCTCATTTCGACCGTATGGTCATCCTTTTGAAGTGGTTTTTACTTTGTTTTTTGTTTTTTTGTTTTTTTTCCTTTTGCTGGCCAAGATGTTAAAAAAAAACCGTTACAACCTCATGTGGCAAGCTTTTGTGTGTATATATGTAAATGAATAACTCAAGAGTGGAAATAGAAGTGTTTTGAATAGTTTTGGAAACCATTTTTTGTGCTTTTTGCAATCAAATAAGGCGGCGATTGATATTTTTGTTAACCACCTAAATTGTTCACAAATAGGTTGGGTAGTTGGGTGATTAGTTGGTTTATTTAGCTTGCTCTTGTTTGCATTTTCAGAGATAGCTTTCTTTTCCCCCACTCCCTCTGAAAATGATCATACCTTTTTATTGTTTCAATACATCTCTCAAATTTCCAAACGGTAAAACTTGATCTATTCGATCTGCGCCACTAATAAACATTGCCAACCGGTCAATACCAATACCCCATCCACCAGTTGGTGGTAATCCTATTTCCATCGATTTTACATATTCCCAGTCAGGAATCAACATTTCGTTATCCCCATACTTTTCCTTGTTCAATTGCTGTTGCTTGAATTTAATCAACTGTTGACTTGGATCGTTCTCCTCTTCATAAGCATTAACGTATTCTTTACCATTGATGAATAGCTCAAATCTCAAAGATACTGGAATAGTATTCGTACCGTTGCAATTACTGTCCTTTCTAGACTTGGCCAATGGCGATAGAATTTCTGGTTGGTTGAATATAATCACTGGAACGTTTGGATGCTTTGTGACACTTAACGATTCTAGATAGATTTCGCTTAAGTTGTTAAGTAAATTGGCTGGATTAAGATTAAGGTTAGAACTGGAATTGGAATTGGAATTGGAATTGGAACTAGAATAGGAATTAGAGTCAGAATTTTGGGGTATTTCCAAACCAAGACTTTGATAGTAATTGATTAACGTTTCAAGTGACAAGTCTTGCAATTTTTTGCCAGTTATCTTCTCCAAGGTGGGTAAGAATTCGTATCTAGGAAAAGTATGAATTCCCAGTTCATCACCGAACTCGGTCTCGGTCTCTTTACAGAGGGGAATGTTAAAGGTTTTGAATAGCTCAATAAATAGTGTTTCTGTTATCTCCATTAGTTCGTTTAAGCTGGTATAAGTTTGGTAAAATTCGCACGATGTGAATTCGGGATTGTGAGTTTGGTCTATACCTTCGTTTCTAAAGTTACACCCAATTTCAAAAATCTTGTCAAACCCACCAATGACTAGTTTTTTCAACCATAGTTCAGGAGCAACTCTCAATAGTATATCCTCATTTTTAAATTTCGTTAGAAACGGTTGGGCATTGGCTCCAGTTCCAAGACTGCTCAAAATCGGAGTTTGCACTTCCAAAAAGCCTCTCTCAACAAAAAAATTTCTAATAAACTGGATTATTTTCGACTTGACAATTATTGGCTGCTTGGAAATGGGATTCACCAAATAGTTCATTACTCTATGATTGTTAATGATCCCCTTGTCAACAAGTTTCGAAGGGATATTGTTCAAACAAGGAGTCAATATCTGCATGGAATCGCCGAGCTTTAGTGTCAATTCTCCTGTTTTAGTCCTGGACGCAAACCCATGACAACTTACATAGTCACCTGGTTTGAACCAAGAATGGATCTTATCAAACTCTGCCAAATTTACACCAACCAATTTGTTATAAGCCATCACTTGCAAGCGAACATCATCCTGAATAACATCAATAAAAAACATTCCTTTCCCCGACTTTCTGATTGAGCGGATTCTACCTTCAATGATATATGTTTCTCTTGTGCGATTATTGTCAAAAGCGGAAAAATCCGTGTCATTGAACTTTTCTCGGAATGAAGGTATTCGCAATGTAATGGCGTCTTTAAACTGACCTCTCACACTGGAAATGCTCGGATAATAGAATGACGACGGTAGCTCATTCGAATGAGGGGTTGACCCTTTACTTTCATTTATATCGTTACCAGATTGGATTTGGGATTTTCTATAACCATATGTAAGACTAGGTTCTGATGATAACTGTCGAAGTGCCAATTTGACCACCTTGTAATTGACATTTCCACCATTCACTCTCAACCATCGCGTGCACCCGAGCATCTTTCAATTCCTCATATATATATCTATAATCAACAACGGCCCAGTTCAACATTACCTCTTCTCAAGATCTCTTTTATCCGAAACTGAAAAAAAAAAAATGAAAAGAAAAAAAGAAAAAAAGCCAAAGCCGATCTGGCTGAAATTTTCATCATTAAACTTGAGAACCACCGCCATTCCCTTCGTGGCTTTACTCCTGCCAACCACTGCTTTCCCTTCCGACTCATCCAACCTGATAAGGTTGCCTTTTTTTTGTTTTTTGCTCCTTTTTTTTTTTGGGTTTCTTTCTTTCTATGGAATTTGAAAATAGGGAAGATCGAGATGGCATTAGATTATCATGGTCTTCAGTAGCCAAATCGAAGCTTCAACATCAACGAAACGTGATTCCCTTAGGCGCTCTATATACACCATTGAATGATAAAAGTCAAGTAGAGCTACTTGACACATCTCTTTTAGTGGCCTGTCGAAGTTGTCGTTCAATTCTCAATCCTTTTGTTTCAGTTGCTAATGATGGTCAACTATGGACTTGTCAGTTTTGTGGCGTATCGAACCAGCTTGCTCCGAGCTTCGATTCAAACGGCGAGCAAATATTTCATCCTTCATTGACACCAGAATTTACTTGTGTGGAATATGAAACTGGTAAAAAAAGCTCCCTACCTCCTGTGTTTTTGTACATTGTCGATACTTGTTTTGAAGGAGATGATAGGGAAACCGCTTTTGCTCAGTTAAAAGAAAGTTTGGTCATATCCCTAAGCATTTTACCCGAGGATGCTCTAGTGGGGTTTATCACTTTTGGGAAACACGTCAAGATTCACGACTTGGCCTCCAATGACAACTTGAGCTATACATTCAACGGTAACAAAACCTATACTTTAGAGCAGTTGCGGTCATCTCTTGGAATTTTGGGTGCAGGTCTAAGTGCTGCGGGAATAAATCAAGCCATGGGAAGTGCAATTCACAATAATAATAATAATAATAGTAGTAGTGGTAGTAGCCCGATAGGGAGCGTCGGCAAGAGATTCTTACAGCCAGTAGGGTTGGTTGAGTACCAATTAACATCTATTATTGAGAATCTTGTACCCAACTTGTTTTCACGTGATACATTTAATGAAAGACCCGAGAGAGCAACAGGGTCTGCGATAAATGTGGCAGCGTTGTTGCTAAGAGCCATATTCGCTGATGCGCATTTGACCGGGGGCCATTTGATGGTGTTTACCTCTGGCGTTTGTACACTAGGCCCGGGCAGGATTGTAGACAGAGAATTAAAAGTTCCCATGAGATCACATCATGATATAATAAAGTCTTATACCACAACCATACAAGCACCTTCTGTTTCTTCAAAAACAAAGACAGATATTTCATTGTTCAAGCTTGCAAAGAAGTTTTATGGTGGTCTAGCTAAGATATTGAACAATTTGGGTTTTAGCTGTGATTTCTTTATCGGAAGTTATGATCAAGTGGGATTGTTTGAAATGGATGAGATTTGCTACAAAACTGGAGGATCGGTTGTTTTGAGTGATTCTTTTAGTACCGCAATCTTTAAACAGAGTTTTACAAAATTTTTCAAAAAGCAACACGACTACAATGAATACTTGGATATGGGGTTCAATTCTACGTTGGAGGTCAAGGTATGTTCCGATTTAAAAGTAGAGGGACTTGTAGGGCAAGCGACCGCCTTGCCCTATAATAGGACTAATCCAATAAATGAGAGAATGATCAGTCAAACTGAAATTGGAGAAGCAAAGACAAACTCTTGGAAACTTTGCAGTGTTAATCCCCAGTCTACTTTTGCAGTTTATTTTGAAAAACTAGATAGCACAACCACTAATCCAACGTGTATACAATATTTATTTCATTATCAGCACCCCAATGGAGACATGAGATTGCGAGTGACAACAGTTGCAATCAATGTCATACCAGATTCCGATAGTTTAAACTTGGAATTGGGATTTGATCAAGAAGCTGCGGTAGTGTTAATTGCTCGTGAAGCAATTATCAAGCTACAAATAGACTCGACAAATGATAAAAAGTTTGTCTCAAGTAACTCGCTATCTAAACTGCTTGATCAGACTTTAATTGATTTTTGCACAAGATTTGGGGTCTTCACTATTGGTAGAATGGATTCATTTAGGTTGTCCAATGCATTTTCTTTGTTTCCACAGTTTATTTACCATCTAAAACGGTCACCATTCATTGACGTGTTTAATAGCTCACCAGATGAAACAAGTTACATTCGACACATATTTATGCACGAAGATTTGTCTAATTCTTTGCTTATGATTCAACCGTCCTTGTTATCATACGATATAAACACTTGGGGGTCTGTAATCGATGACGAAACAGGAGAGACCGTGAATGAACCAGAACCTGTTCTTTTAGATTCCATAAGTTTAGGTCACTCAAAGATTCTTTTACTAGATACATTTTTCCAGATCTTGATTTACCATGGTTCCCAAGTAGCAGAGTGGAGAAAAGCTGGGTACCATGAGCAAGAAGAATACGAATATTTCAACGAATTTTTGAAAGCACCCAAAAGAGAAGCATTGGAATTATTGACAGATAGGTTTCCTTTACCTAGATTTATCGACTGTGACGAAGGAGGGTCTCAGGCAAGATTTCTTATGGCAAAGTTGAATCCAAGCACCAGCTACGCAGTGAATGTTAATCATTACTACGGATATGGTGAAAGATTGGATGTTTTCACTGATGATGTTAGCTTGCAACTGTACATGGACCATATTCAAAGAGTAGTCACGTCTAAAAAGTAATAAGGTAAGCCCCATGGGGGGAAGACAAGGAGGAGGAGAACTCAATTCCTCTCCTCACATATACATATCACATATTTAATTATTTTTTATAGAAAATTGCATCATCACCCTAATCATCTCCTAATTCATCGAATTTTTTCCAAATCTGTGGCCAATTTGATTGCCTTTTTCAAAAACAGACTTTCGCCATTTGCTCTACCATGGTCGCCACCAGCGTTTTCTTTATCCTTATCTTGTGATTTTGTAGGGACGAATTTTACATTCTCCTTGCATGTCAAATGCTCTTTGACTTTACCTACTAATTCTCCGTAATCATCAAATATTAGTTCTGATCCTACATATTCCTGCCACCTGGTTTCGTATATCCTACCATCAATTACATCTGAAGCATCTACGATGTGATTGTTAGGTGCGTTGTGGCTGCTGCTTCCAACGTTAGTACTTTTTGGATCCATGCTATATATGGAATTATTTGATATCTTAATCAATGGTGTTTCTTGGCTTAAATTTGTGAACTGAAGCTGGGCAGACGACTTGACAATATTGTTCTTATATCTGGGTCTTTCCTTTTTAGTTTTATTGCTACTGCTTGTTGCAGACCCCATATGTTCCTCGTGTTCGTCTCGCTTATGTGCAAGATTCGGTAGATCAATTGTAATAAAAAAATTCTATCAATTAATAAATCAAATAAAATGAAATAAAACAAGAACGTATATTTGTTAGTACTTAAAATCTTAAAAAACTGGGTATAAAAGTCCTTAATCTCTAGTATAATGATTCTTCTTGTACCCGTGTGTCTATCTATCTTTATCTCTATCTCTATATCAGTAAAATGTGGGTGCAAAAATGTGCGAGGTGGGATGTGGGTGGTGTGTAAATGGATGGATTATAGGAGGGGGTAGGGGTAGGGTAGGGGAAAAGGAATGTATTATTTACGTACCTCAAATTCATCTTCGTTGCTTACTCCTGCGACTGTGTCAGCTACAGGGGTATTTTCTCTTTCAAGATTATTATGCAATCTGTATTCGTTTAATTTGGCCTTTTCTTCAGCCTCTTTCTTTCTTCTTGCTATATCCTCAGTCGATCCTGCTTCTACTCCGGTAGTGAAATCCCAATTCATTTCCTCGCCATTGGTTAAAAACTCACAGTTACCATTCATAACTATATTCCACTGGCGAGCGGCTCCTCCTTCTTCTCCTTCTCCTCCTCTTGCTTCCTCATCTCGTATGTATTTTGTCAATGAGCATGCTCCCGCACGCAACATGGTTTGATTTTCATCAATGGCCGTTGTTACTGTATTCAATTGCAACAACGCACTTCCCAACGCAATCATGGTTGCTGCATGAGTTACCAAAAGAATGTTTTTAATTTCAGGATACTTCTTCTCGAATTGCGTTACAAAAACACTCCAAAACTTACGAGCTCTTTCCAAAATCTCTTCAGTTGTTTCTCCTTCCGAATTGGGTGTGACTCCCAAGTGATCTCTGGGCCATTCCTGTTCATCTAACATAACATCGTGGAAAAACTTATTCAAATCCAGGTAGTCTGCTGGCTTGGGTATGATTTTTCTATTTTTCTTAAACCACTCCCCAATTCCTCTATCAATTCCGATTTTTATATCCAACATTTTCGCTATTGGCTCAGCGGTCTCCACACATCTATAAAAGGGCGACGTCAAGATAAATTGCGGCCTGTCTTTTTCAGGAAGCGAAACCAAGTATGCCGCTAATTGTTTAGCTTGGTTTACCCCATGTGGGGCTAATGGAGGATCACTATCGATTCCTGTAGGGTTGGGGGGATGAGGCGGAGGAAGCCAATTGGATCGGTACCCGTGTCTCGCAATGTAAATCCCCTTGATAGTCATTAGTAAAAAAAAAAAAAAGAAAAAAAAGGATACCAATGGTAAAAAAGTGAGTATATAACAAAAAGTTTGTTAGAGAGAGAAAAGGAAGAATACTTATGGCTCTGTTTAGTTCTTTCGATATATCGTTAAACAGGTTTGTTTCCATTTATCTTTTTTTTTTTTTTCTTTTTTTTTTTCGGCATTGGAAAGCTATCGTCCATCAGGAACAGATCAAATTTAAAATTACGTTGCATTGTAATTGTATTGTCTCTCTTATTGTATGTATGTATATATATATATATATATATATATATATATATATGTATGTATGTATACTAAAACTTATACAGAATAGTTCTCACTAGATTTATCTTTCTCCAAGAAGTGGACAGGGAGGGAAGGGTTTGGTAGGGGGAGGAGGTTTTTTTTTTAGATCAACATTTCCAATGGATTTTCAATGATTCTTTTCAACTCCTTAATCCATTCACCACCAAGAGCACCATCAATAACTCTGTGATCAAAAGTACCGGTGATTGTTATTACATCATCAAAGATGAATCCTTGTTCATTTACATCGCTTGGAACGGCCTTTTTCTCAGTAGTACCAACAGCCAAAATTGCCGATTGTGGAGGGTTGATGATTGAAGTAAAAGCAGTAACTGCATGGTTCATACCTAAATTGGAAATACAAATAGTACCACCTTGGAACTCTTCTGGTTTCAATTTACCAATTTTGGCTCTCTTACCCAAATCCTTTATCTCGTGAGAAATTCGTGATAAGCCTTTATTCTGGGCATCTTTGATGATTGGTGTGATTAAACCAGTTGGCGTAGCAACTGCAACTGAAACATCTACATTAGAATATTGTCTGATTATACCTTGATCGCCTAACCAAGCAGAGTTTACCTGTGGAACTCTGGTGGATGCAATTGCAACGGCTTTGATCAACAAGTCGTTAACAGACAATCTATATCTATCCTCGGCTGATGCATTAAGTGAAGCACGTAATTTCAAAAGCTTGGAAACAGAAATTTGTGATTGAATGATGTAAGTTGGTAATTGTTGAGTTGATTGCAATAATCTAGTAGCAATAGTCTTTCTCATGCTTGTTAATGGAATATCTTCATAACCCCCAGCAGTAGTAGCAGTAGCAGTAGCAGTAGCAGTAGAAGCGGTCGAAGTAGTAGTGGTGGTAGCAGCAGCAGTTTCTGGAGCGGAAGTTGTTGAAGCTTTAGCTTCAAGGCCTTCAAGATCTTTGGCCACAATTCTACCATGAGGACCCGAACCTTTAACTCCTTTCAAAGAGATACCCTTTTCCAAGGCAATTGTCTTTGCAAGTGGAGATGCAAAAATTCTATTAGTTGGTGGTGCCGAGGATGATGAGCTGGTTGATGTTGTTGTTGCCGGTTTTGACGATTTTGAAGAGTCCTCTTTCTGCTCTAATTCTTCCTTTGGTTTTGTTTCTGGTTCCTTTTTGTCTTCAGCAGGCACGGCACCAGCATCGGCAGCGGTGAAATTTTCAAAAGCTGGAACTTCGTCTGCTTCTTCAACGTAAACAGCAATAGGTTGGCCTACAGGAATATCCTTTGAGCCATCGCCAACCAAGATCTTTGCCAAGTATCCGTCTTCTTGAAATTCAAAGTCCATAGATGCTTTATCGGTTTCAATTTCAGCAATTGCCTCACCAGGAGACAACTGGTCACCAACTTTTTTCGACCACAGTTGAAGATTACCTTGAGTCATAGTTGGCGACAAGGCAGGCATGTGAATAACGGTGTGTGGTGGGAATTTGCCTGATGAGTATAATCTGATAAAATTGGAATATGAAAGAAAATGAGATGAAGAACAAGTGATACTTTTCAGGGCAAAAGCACTAGCCGACCTGGGAACAACGGTACGCAATACCAGCGCTGACCTATAAGCAACAAAAATGGCAGACATCTTGTATGTATATATAGAAACAAGCCTGATATGAAAAATGACGAGTCAGGTCAACGTTTTCTCGATATATATATATATATTTATATTTATATATTTAAAAAAAAATACTTCGGAGATTTTTATAAGATTTTTTTTTGGGGGGGGAACTTGAAATTTTTTCTCTTTCTTTTTTGGCATTTTTCAATTTTCATCATTTTTGATTTGATGGTTTCAGCAAGTCATCTGAAACCATTAATATTGCTCTAATTAAAAGGGGAGAGAGACTCTACATAAGAGTATACTGCTACCAGGTGATTTCAAACGATGTTCCTTGTATTCATCGTTATGGATTCTTGGTTGAATCTCTCCTTGTAAAGAAAAGATTTGGTATGAAAATAATGCCAAATTATAATCTGTCAATAATGAATTAAAAAAAAAAAAAAAAAGAGAAAACAACCAAGAACAAGACTCTAGGAAACCACCTGTAATGGCTTACAGTACTGCACGTTTTACGAAAAAGAAACACTAGACCGAATCAATCTCTCCAAAAACGTTGTAATAATAAGTATTCCAACTTGTTCAGGGCCCAACTATGTAAGCGCATTTGGTAGCATTGGTGGAATGCAGGTAGCGCATTAAACGCATTGGAGTCTTCCGGTGGTTGAATAGTATAAAGAGAAGTAGCACAAGAAGAGCGGATATACAAATCCGTGTACAACACTATCGAGCAACACTATCGAGCGGAGCGAGATAGTGTTGTAACAAGCTACAAAGTGCTCACTATCTCGCTCTGCTCGATATAGCTGTAACAAACTACAAAGTGCTCACTATCTCGCTCTACTCGATAGTGTTACTCGATAGTGTTGCTCGATAGTGTTGCTCGATAGTGTTGCTCGATAGTGTTGCTCGATAGTGTTGCTCGATAGTGTTGCTCGATAGTGTTGCTCGATAGTGATATGTCCGAGATAATAATATTAGACATCTATCAATCTATGTATAGATGTTATCAATCTATTTACAGATGTTATCAATCTATAGATGTTTAGTTATTCTTTTTCTATTCTATAGGTCAACATGATCGCTATTGTAGTGTGCTTTACATATTCTTCCTCTTATTTCGTTGTTATTATGGGTATTCATCATCTCTGATACATCTTTATAGCCCTTGTTATTATTCTTTACACAATCGTCTTGATAAATCACGTCAATTGCATTTTGTTTTTCTAAACAATCCTTTGCTGTTTGCCACGAAAATCTAATGAGTCCAAAACACCACCCAAATATAGGGTCAACGTTACTGTTTAGCCAGCGCGTAGTGTTTGGGTCGCTGGGATACCCTGAACCTAAAGTATGACCCTTGAGTATCTTCAAGCTCTCGTTGCAATGCTGCAAATTTAAATCTCTTGTTACTTTTGCAACAACTGAAGCTGTACTGACTATTGGGTATATGCTATCGGCCTTTTTGGCAACTGTTATATCTACAGTTGGAAACAATTTCTTTAATTTCGCTTGGTACGTAGCTGGTGGGCCAACGGTATCGACAAATATTGCAGTCACATTAACCCCACTCTTTATCACTCTTGTAATTAAATCAATTGTTGTATTGTGTGCTTGTTCATTTAAGTTGTACACTCCTTTCCCATAAAACGTGGGTCTCAACATCCCCAGCGCTATATCCTTTGCTGTCATTGTGGTGGTAGCCCATCCTACATTTCTGTTCAATTCTTGACGATTTCCATTTTCATCCTCAATGAGCTGAAACAAGTATTGTCTCTTATCGTCAGTTAACTGTTTCGAATCGGCAAATCCATAGTCTTTTTGTAGATTCTTCAGAAAATCTTGTAATGAATACGCAACTCCATAAACCATTGGACCCAATACCGGACCTCTGCCTGCCTCATCAACACCTAAAACCACTGGTGCTTGAGGATTGTTGAGTATTTGTTGCGGTATCTCCGACATATATGTAGTTGTTTTGAAATCTTGAAGATTTGAAATACGAGATACCGATGGGGGTACCCATTTTGTAGTATCCAACCTGGGTCTCTTTTGTTCAACAAGACCCCTTTCTTCTTTATTAATAGCATTTTTCTCAATTTTAGTTTCTGCGTTTTCTTCATCTACTTCCTCTTGATCAAGTACATTGTCGATTTTCCGTTTCAGATTGATGTCTACAAGAGGTTTTGACTCTACAAAAGTATTGCTAATTGGTGACGCAATAGACATGATGCAAACCAATAAAAACAAATGAGACTAGTAGCAAATCAACAGGCTATATATTATTACGATTATACTCATCAAAATAACTCCAAGAGCTGTCTGTTTTTTTCTTTTTCTGTCTTTTTGTTTACTATTGTTATGTATTATATGAAATAACGCGTGTTGATAACCTTGTTGATTTGAAAAAAGAAAAAGAAAATATATATATACACGCGATATCGATGAGGTGAGGCCAAGTAGGAAGTAGAAAAATGTAAATGTACATATACACATTACTTCTCTTCTCAGCATTGATACCAGACCAGTAATCAGGGATATGATATATCTCGATAAAAAATAAAACAAAAAAAAAAAAAACATTATATATTACGTTGTTAATGCTATCGAAATCATCCTCCATTAGTCTATTAAATCAGTGACAGTCTCTGTCGCTAGGCAGCAGTGTGCTCCACTATCTCGCTAGGCAGCAGTGTGCTCCACTATCTCGCTAGGCAGCAGTGTGCTCCACTATCTCGCTAGGCAGCAGTGTGCTCCACTATCTCGCTAGGCAGCAGTGTGCTCCACTATCTCGCTAGGCAGCAGTGTGCTCCACTATCTCGCTAGGCAGCAGTGTGCTCCACTACCACTATCTCGCTCCGCTCGATAGTGTCAAGTACTTCTTTACGTTTTCGTATACGACAAATGTTATACATGTTGCAGGCAATACTCGTATAATATTTGCACTGAGTCCTTTATAAAATGCTCTATATCCGCCTTCTTTGTAATATAAAGTTTCCACTACTCTCATAATACCTGGGTGACCAGGATTATTTTGCAATCGGGACTTTACCACTTGTGCAGGATACATGATAACACTACTTGATATTTTTGAAATAGCCGAGATATAGATGAATTGCCATGAATTCAAATGTAAAGTGGTCCACTCATTTTCTCTTTGCAGTACGAAATTTTTTAAAAGATCATATATTGTAAAATGTAGGCTTCCTTGAAATACTTGAAACATACCGGGTACTGCTCCCTTCCAGAAACTTAACACTCCTTCGTGTTTGAGCATTGTTTTGGCGGCACCCCACATCGATCTATATGCTTCCAAGTCACTTCGCGACCCACTTACTATCCTTGTCTTCAATACCCATATGGGATTGGTCAAAATCCCTGTTGATAATCCAGCCAACGTGGAGCTAGTGAAATAGTTCAAAGTGTTATTCTTTATCTTTATATAAGACTTGAATTCAGCGTATAGTGCAAAATATAAACCCCATGCTGATATGTTCCCCACAAGATTTGGCATCAACCCTCTATAATATTCTGAAACGTAAAGAAGCCCGCGCGGTAGATGATTATGCTTTTGCAATATTTGCGATCTAGCATTGTTATTGATATCTTCAATCACAGAGATTATTGACTGGAACGGTTTTGCATTCGGCGATGCCAAGTTGAGATGACTTAGTTGTAATCGAATTTTAATAACATCTAATGGATGCGTTACAATAGTAGTTGTAAACCCAGCAGTAAGGCCAGATATGCTTTCAATGATACGACTAGATAATCCCCTGCCATGATGAATGTCTCCTTCTCCTGGTTGAAAGTTCATTAGAGATATGAAGAGACGGTTGGGTTGGGTAGGGTAACTATTTACTGATGTATGAGGGTGATTAATCAACTGGAAAAAAAAATCACATCACGTGATGGAGAAAGATGAGAGCAAGAGCAATAGCGACACTATCTATTAGACATGGTGATTGGTGATATGTACATATCGACACTTAGTAGTTTGTTACAACACTTTCGAGAAAACCTGTTTTTGACTGGGGAAACTCCTGAGTTGTAAATATATAAATATATATATATATATAAAAAAATAAAAATACAAGTATATGTGTGTAAATCTGCAATTTAGGCAGATGGGAATGGTGATAATAAGTTCAAAATGGATGGTTTACTTGAAGTAGCTGACCAGCCTAAATATAACACCAATGGAATAAACCCATAATGAGCAATTGTTTTAGAATAATCTAAAAGTCTAACAATTCTTTCCTTTGACTCGTCTGATAATGTGAGTTGGAAATTTGATGATTTGGATATTGATGATTCAGACATGACTTATGATAAAAAAAAGTTGCTGCTGTTCTTGTTGTTGTGCAAAGACACTTTTTATTTTTTCTCAATCTCTCTACTGCTAATATTGTAGCTTGTTGTAACTAATTAGTTCCTATTTGTTACTGAGACTGTTGATTGATGATTGATGATTGATAATTAAAACTGCCTTTTCTTTTTTTCATTTTTTTTTTCATTTTTCAGTTGTGTATTGGTCCATTTTAACACGACTATAGCGAGCGAAGCGAGCAGACACTCGATAGTGTTGGGCAGCCACTATCTCGCTCTGCTCGATAGTGGAGCACACTAGCCGCCACCACTAGCTATAGGAGGTATCGAGCAGAGCAAAATAGCGTTGTAACAAGTAAGTGCTGCCCACTATCGAGCAGAGCAAAATAGCGTTGTAACAAGTAAGTGCTGCCCACTATCGAGCAGAGCAAAATAGCGTTGTAACAAGTAAGTGCTGCCCACTATCGAGCAGAGCAAAATAGCGTTGTAACAAGTAAGTGCTGCCCACTATCGAGCAGAGCAAAATAGCGTTGTAACAAGTAAGTGCTGCCCACTATCGAGCAGAGCAAAATAGTGTTGTAACAAGCTAGTAAGTGCTCCACTATCTCACTCTGCTCGATAGTGTTGTAAGTGCTGCTCGCTAGTGAAGCACTTACTAGCTTGTTACAACTCTATCAAACCCGTGTGTGTCTTTTTTGACTATAATAATTTGATATATAGAATTGAGAGATTACTTTTTTACAATTTTTTATTAGAAATGGATGCAAAAAAATACAAAGTGGTCCAATTTTGAGTAATACTATCGAGCAATACTATCGAGCAACACTATCGAGCAACACTATCAAGCGGAGCGAGATAGTGTTGTAACAAGTTACGAAGCGCTGTTCACTATCTCGCTTCGCTCGATATAGTTGTAACAAGCTACAAAGTGCTCACTATCCCGCTCTGCTCGATAGTGTTGTAACAAGCTACAAAGTATTGCTCCACTATCTCGCTCGGCTCGATAGTGTTGTAACAAGCTACAAAGTATTGCTCCACTATCTCGCTCGGCTCGATAGTGTTGTAACAAGCTACAAAGTATTGCTCCACTATCCCGCTCGGCTCGATAGTGTTGTAACAAGCTACAAAGTATTGCTCCACTATCCCGCTCGGCTCGATAGTGTTGTAACAAGCTACAAAGCGCTTTTCACTATCTCGCTCTGCTCGATAGTGTTGCAACAAGCTATTGTGCTGCAAATTGGAAATATGGTCTATTTTAGTTCAACCTAAAAACCAGTAAACAATTGAAAACAACTAAAAACCAAAAAAATACAATATACAAGCTAGTTAGTGTTGCTCGATAGTTTCGCATTTTCACGCGCTTGAAAACCGTAGTAGCACTCTCTAATATACAATATACAAGCTAGTTTGTGTTGCAGAAAAAAAAAAGTATGCTACCAGATGTCAACTAAACCAACTAAGCCACGTTGCACACTGCACATCGCACACTGCACATCGCACATCGCACATCGTCAGTCAGCCACTCCCAGAAAAAGATTATGGGCCCTGGTGTTTTTCAATTGCATGGTTACAAAAACTTTTAGCTGGCACTAGCGAGCAGAGCTCACCAGTAAGTGCTCCACTATCGAGCAGAGCTCACCAGTAAGTGCTCCAGAGCTCACCAGTAAATGCTCCACTATCAAGCAGAGCTCACCAGTAAGTGCTCCAGAGCGAGCCAGTAAATGCTCCATTATCGAGCAGAGCTCACCAGTAAGTGCTCCAGAGCGAGCCAGTAAATGCTCCATTATCGAGCAGAGCTCACCAGTAAGTGCTCCAGAGCGAGCCAGTAAATGCTCCATTATCGAGCAGAGCTCACCAGTAAGTGCTCCAGAGCGAGCCAGTAAATGCTCCATTATCGAGCAGAGCTCACCAGTAAGTGCTCCAGAGCGAGCCAGTAAATGCTCCATTATCGAGCCAGTAGGTGCTCCACCTCGCTCTGCGCGCTAGTGTTGTATGTATTTTCTATTTATATTTTTTTCTCCCCTTATGAGATCAAGATTAGCACTTTTATCTTGTTCGCGTTACGTCATTTTTGGACGCAGGATGGTGAGAAAGGGAAGGGGGAGGCTTTTGTTGATGTATAAATTTATTAGGCCTATACAAAAGGATAATTCAAGTTTAGTAAATTACACAATGTTTTTTAGCTCTTTTGATTGTTTGAAAAGTTGGTTTGAAACAGAAAATGCAATATTTAAATTAGAAAGACTAAAATCAACACACTCTATCTATAGTAAGATGGAGATAGAGAGATAGAGAGAAAGGGTTATATGTTTTTCTATCCACCTTATGGGTTGTTGTTTTTTTTTCTTTCTTTTTTCTCCTGTAATTAACAACAGACTTTTAAAGGTAAATTAAGTAGACGATCAATACTTGTTTGTTGAAAGCCCAATATAGAGTTGATTACCCAGTTGTGTTTATTTCTTACCTAACCTCACCTTTATTCATTTCTTTATTTAATTTTTGGCCAAAATTACTCCTCCAATTAAGAAACAAAAATTTTCAGCCATTTCATCACCTATTGAGAGTAATTTCTCATTGAAGTTGAATTTGGACTCACCCTCACCCCATAATCATCCCCAGGATCTCACTCCTGAGATCAACCCTAATATTCTCTCTCCCAGCAAAATGATGACAACATCATATTCACAAGATGACATAATCAAAATATTAGAAGATCCAGTATTGTATCAGCAAAAGCATATGGAAATCAGAAACGACTTAATCAAGCATATAAGGAAACAAGATCTAGTTATCAACGACTTTAATAATGAGTTGGAAGTTTGTAAAACTGCAAATAAGGCATTCAAACAAGCACTTAGTGAGATCGGCACTGTTGTAATATCTGTCGCCATGGGTGACTTGTCGAAAAAAGTTGAGATCCATGCAGTTGAAAGCGATCCTGAGATTTTGAAGGTGAAAATTACCATTAATACAATGATGGACCAATTACAAACATTTGCAAATGAAGTAACAAAAGTGGCTACAGAAGTTGCCAACGGTGAGCTAGGAGGACAGGCTAAAAACGAAGGTTCAGTTGGTATATGGCGTTCATTAACTGATAACGTTAATATCATGGCTTTGAATTTAACAAATCAGGTTAGAGAAATTGCAGATGTAACAAGAGCAGTTGCCCGAGGAGATTTATCAAGGAAAATCAATGTACATGCCCAAGGGGAGATTTTGCAATTACAAATGACAATAAACACTATGGTGGATCAATTGAGAACTTTTGCTTTTGAAGTTTCCAAGGTGGCTAGAGATGTTGGTGTTTTGGGTATATTGGGAGGACAAGCATTTATCGAGAATGTCGAAGGTATATGGAAAGAGTTGACAGATAACGTCAATGCTATGGCCTTGAACTTGACTACTCAAGTCAGAAATATCGCAAACGTCACAACTGCTGTGGCCAAGGGTGATTTATCGAAAAAAGTCACTGCTGATTGTAAAGGTGAAATTTTGAATTTGAAACTAACTATAAATCAAATGGTGGATCGATTGTTGAAATTCGCATCGGAAGTTACAACTTTGTCGAGAGAAGTTGGTACATTGGGTATATTAGGAGGGCAGGCAAATGTTCAAGATGTTGAGGGTGCTTGGAAAGCGGTTACAGAAAATGTCAACTTGATGGCAACAAACTTAACCAATCAAGTTAGGTCGATTGCTACAGTGACCACTGCTGTCGCACATGGTGACTTGTCTCAAAAGATTGATGTTCATGCCCAGGGAGAAATTTTGCAATTGAAAAACACCATCAATAAGATGGTGGACTCTTTACAGCTATTTGCATCAGAAGTGTCCAAAGTTGCAAGGGATGTTGGGATTAACGGTAAATTGGGCATCCAAGCACAGGTTAGTGATGTCGATGGATTGTGGAAGGAAATTACATCAAATGTCAATACTATGGCCTCTAACTTGACTTCCCAAGTGAGAGCATTTGCTCAAATTACCGCTGCTGCTACCGATGGTGATTTCACGAGATTTATCACTGTTGAAGCGCTGGGCGAGATGGATGCCTTGAAAACAAAGATCAACCAAATGGTGTTGAATTTAAGAGAGTCGATTCAAAGAAATACAGCAGCTAGAGAAGCTGCTGAATTGGCAAATAGTGCGAAATCCGAATTTTTAGCTAATATGTCTCATGAGATTAGAACTCCGCTTAATGGTATTATTGGTATGACCCAGCTATCATTAGATACAGAGCTAACGCAATACCAGAGGGAAATGTTATCAATTGTTCACAATTTGGCAAACTCCTTATTAACCATTATCGATGATATTTTGGATATCTCCAAAATTGAAGCCAATAGGATGACTGTAGAACAAATTGATTTCTCGTTAAGAGGAACTGTGTTTGGTGCATTGAAAACATTGGCTGTTAAAGCTATTGAAAAAAATTTAGACTTGACTTATCAATGCGACTCATCCTTCCCGGACAATTTAATTGGTGATTCCTTTAGATTACGACAAGTTATTTTGAACTTGGCAGGTAATGCAATAAAGTTCACAAAGGAAGGAAGAGTTAGCGTAAGTGTTAAAAAGTCTGACAAACCTGTTGAAGATAGCGACAAGTTACTTTTAGAAGTCTGTGTTAGCGATACGGGAATAGGTATCGAGAAGGATAAATTAGGCTTAATTTTCGATACTTTTTGTCAAGCAGATGGCTCAACTACAAGAAAGTTTGGAGGTACCGGTTTAGGTTTATCCATTTCTAAACAATTGATACATTTGATGGGTGGTGAAATTTGGGTGACTTCAGAATATGGATCAGGCTCGAATTTCAATTTCACTGTTAGTGTTTCCCCATCAAATATCAGATACACAAGGCAAACGGAACAGCTTTTGCCATTCAGCTCACATTATGTGCTCTTTGTTTCTAATGAGCACAGTGATGAAGAACTAGAAGAAATCAAAGATGGGATTTTGGAGTTGGGTTTGAATCCAGTGATTGTAAAAAATATTGAAGATGCTAATTTGCTGGAACCCATCAAGTACGATATTATAATGATTGATTCTATTGCTACTGCAAAGAAGTTACGTCTCTTGCCGGAAGTCAAGTACATCCCATTGGTACTCGTTCACCATTCGATACCGGACTTGAATATGAGGGTTTGTATAGATTTGGGTATTTCCTCGTACGGAAATACGCCGTGCTCGATAACCGATTTGGCAAGTGCTTTGATCCCTGCTTTAGAATCAAGATCGATATCGCAAAATTCTGACGAATCGGTCAGCTACAAGATCTTGTTGGCCGAGGATAATCTTGTGAATCAGAAATTGGCAGTGAGAATTTTGGAAAAGCAAGGCCATCAAGTTGAAGTAGTTGAGAACGGATTAGAAGCATTTGAAGCGATAAAGAAAAACAAATACGATGTTGTTTTGATGGATGTCCAAATGCCTGTTATGGGTGGGTTTGAATCTGTGGAAAAGATAAGGCAATGGGAGAAAAAGTCAAATCCAGTTGACTCTCTAACTTTCCGAACGCCGATTATTGCATTAACTGCACACGCCATGTTGGGTGATCGTGAGAAGTCATTAGCAAAAGGAATGGATGACTATGTGTCAAAACCTTTAAAGCCAAAGTTATTAATGCAGACCATAAACAAGTGTATCCACAATATTAACCAATTAAAGGAGCTATCCAAACAAAATCACAACAACCGTACATCAGAGTTTGCCAAGAAGTTGAAAAAAGGTGCTATTAAGGATGGCAATGCAAACCTTAGTCCTAGAGGAAGCTATACTCCGCCAGCAACGACTGGTAATGGGGACAACAACAACAACAAATCATTTCACCAGTCTAAATCTCCGTCTAACTTAGTCACTGGTGGTAGTAGTAGTAGTAGTAACAGTGATGGTGGCGGTAATAGCGGTAGTCCCAGTATGGGCCCAAAATCGCATTCATCAGAGGTTGTTCCTTCAGTTAACACGAGACCCGGCCAATTAATGCAAAACTATCGATCGGTAACTGAGAGCGTCCTACATTATACAAGTCCTCAAGTAACAGAGATTACCAGCCATGACGATATCATGGATGTTGATGATACAAAATGAAAATGATTAACTCACACATTTTTATACATCGAACCTTCAAAAAAAAAATATCATTCCATGAAATAGAAAGGAAAATGTCTTTCGTATAAAAAAAAATTACAATATCTTCTCCCTAGCTTTATACAATTCTTTTCTTTGTTTCAGGTAACAAAATTTATTACCTCTGCCAGTCGATGATGATGACAACTTCCCATTGAGGCATTGGTCAAAAATGGACTTTCCTGGTAGCTTCACCAGACGTATTTTACGCACGCGCCCAAATACGTCGTCGTCAAAAATATTACGCGTCACATGGAGCGCGATGTAAAGGAACAAAAAAAAAAAAAAAATTAATTAATACCTATAGAGCTAGCAAGATTAGGATACAAGAAGTCAAGGAAAGAAAGAAAGATTAGTTAATTTTTTTTATAGTATCAAAAGCTCTTTTCAAACAACATCTAACTTACCAGTGAGGGGGGGGGAGCATCTATGTCTATGAAAAGAATGTTTGAAAAGGTCCACCAGGATCAGGCGCACTCATTGCCTGTGGCGACACAGCTTGTATCGGGCACATCTAAATTTGAACTTACACCATCGCAGGAGCAATTATTGAAAAAAGTGAAACGACCCAATGGGTCAGAGTCGCCTTCCGAGTTTGAAAAGGAGTTGGTGGATATGACAGAGGCTGTGCTGAGTATGGACTCAGAAGAAGATCAATCATGGTCGAGGCCGCCGCTACCTCGAGACTTTGACCCCGCGAATAACGATATAGCGTTTCAACAATTAGATGCAGAAGAATTTAATGACAACGACGCCACCTATGCGCGGTTCTTTGGGATCACAACAGAAGGTCATTCCGTATTGTGTAATGTGACCGGGTTCCTACACTATTTCTATGCACCAGTACCAAAAGGTTTTCATAAAGATCAATTGTCACAATTTCTTAGTTATTTGAAAGCTAATTACGAGGGAGTTATTCGTGTTGAAATGAAACTAAAAGAGTCAATCTGGGGGTTTAATAATAATACAAGGACTCCGTTTTTTCAAATATTTGTGAATAACAATCGAAATATCACTAAATTGAGAGGTGCATTTGAAAGGGCAGAAATTCGGTTTGAGGAATTGTTTCCACTCCAGCAAAGTGTAACTTATGACAACATCAATTACTTGATGAGGTTGATGATTGACTGTAACATAACAGGAATGTCGTGGATAACTTTGCCAAAGTCAAAATATACCCTAGTAAAAAACAACATCTCCTCTTGTCAGATAGAATGCTCTATTGACTATAGAGACTTGATTGCACACCCACCTGAAGGAGAATGGCTAAAAATGGCCCCCTTACGTATCTTATCATTTGATATCGAATGTGCTGGGAGAAAGGGCATTTTCCCTGAAGCAGAACACGACCCTGTTATTCAAATTGCAAATGTTGTTTCAAAGTTGGGAGAAACCAAACCATTTGTTAGAAATGTCTTTACAGTGAATACTTGTTCCCCGATAATTGGTTCGCAGATTTTTGAGCATGAGAAAGAAGAAACAATGTTGCTTAAGTGGAAAGAGTTTGTAAATGCAGTAGATCCAGACGTGATCATTGGGTACAATACTACCAATTTCGATATTCCGTATTTGCTTGATAGAGCAAAAACTTTAGGGTTGACTAAATTCCCATTCTTTGGGAGATTGCTGCACGTAAAGCAGGAGGTGAAAGAAGCTGTTTTCAGTTCAAGGGCGTATGGTACAAGGGAAAATAAAGTGGTCAATATTGACGGGCGCATGCAATTGGATCTACTCCAGTTTGTTCAACGAGAATACAAATTGAGATCATATACTTTAAACTCAGTCTCGGCACATTTCTTGGGGGAACAAAAAGAAGATGTGCAGCATTCGATCATTACTGACTTACAAAACGGAACCCTGGAGACGAGAAGAAGATTGGCGGTTTATTGTTTAAAAGATGCTTATTTGCCTCTTCGGTTGTTGGACAAGTTGATGTGCTTGGTCAATTATACCGAAATGGCAAGAGTCACTGGTGTTCCTTTCTCTTATCTTTTGGCTAGAGGTCAACAAATCAAAGTCATTTCACAATTATTTCGAAAGTGTGTTGAGGAGGATATAGTTATACCAAATATGAAAAGTGAGAGTACAAACGAAGAGTTTGAAGGAGCCACGGTCATTGAGCCTGTAAGAGGATACTATGATGTTCCTATCGCCACATTGGATTTCAGCTCTTTGTACCCGTCCATTATGATGGCTCACAACTTATGTTATACGACGTTGCTCAACAGAAATGCAATAAAGGCTTTTGATTTGAAAGAAGAGGATTACACTAGAACACCAAATGGTGACTACTTTGTGACCTCGAGTAAAAAGAAAGGAATCTTACCAACAATTCTTAATGAACTATTGACTGCAAGGAAGAAAGCAAAGAATGATTTGAAGAATGAGACTGATCCCTTCAAAAAAGATGTTCTCAATGGAAGACAACTTGCATTGAAAATCTCTGCAAATTCCGTTTATGGGTTTACTGGTGCCAATATTGGAAAGTTACCTTGTTTAGCAATCTCTTCATCTGTCACTGCATTTGGACGTGAAATGATAGAAAAGACAAAGAATGAGGTGCAAGAATTTTATTCCAAAAAAAACGGTTACCCTTACGATGCGAAAGTCATTTACGGTGACACGGATTCGGTAATGGTGAAGTTTGGACCTCAAGACTTGGAAACATGCATGAAACTTGGTGAGGAAGCAGCGGAATTTGTTTCTCAAAAGTTTAAAAAACCAATCAAGTTGGAGTTTGAGAAGGTTTATTTTCCGTACCTATTGATAAACAAAAAGAGGTATGCAGGGTTATACTGGACCCGACCAGATAAATTTGACAAGATGGATACCAAAGGTATAGAAACAGTTAGAAGAGATAATTGTCGATTGGTGCAAAATGTGATTACCAAAGTTTTGGAGTTTATTTTGGAGGAAAGAAATGTTGAAAAAGCACAAAGGTTTGTCAAACAAACTATCGCAGATTTGTTGCAAAACAGAGTGGACCTTTCACAACTAGTAATCACTAAAGCATACTCCAAGCACGACTATTCTGCAAAACAAGCTCACGTGGAATTAGCTGAACGAATGAAAAAAAGAGATCCCGGATCGGCACCCACCTTAGGGGATCGTGTTGCATACGTAATCATCAAATCTGGAGGTGATAAAAATTACGAGAAATCCGAAGACCCGCTCTATGTTTTGGAGAATTCACTTCCTATCGACGTGAAATATTATCTTGAGCAGCAATTGACAAAACCGTTGGAGAGAATCTTTATACCCATTTTAGGGGAGTCAAAGACAAAAGATTTATTGGCAGGATCCCATACACGAACCATTAAAGTATCAGCTCCCAAAACTGGTGGCCTAATGAAATTTGCCACAAAGTCCGAGGTTTGTGTCAATTGTAAAACACCACTAAAAAATGGCAATAAGGGCGCTTTATGCTACAACTGTATAAAGGAAGGAAAAGGACCAGGGCTTTATTCAAACACTTTAGCACAAATGAATTACTTGGAAAGTAAGTTTTCTAGATTATGGACCGAATGTCAAAGATGTCAAGGTTCCTTGCACCAAGAAGTGCTCTGCTCAAATAAGGATTGTCCTATTTTCTACATGAGAAAGAAAGTTCAAAAAGATGTACATAGTCAAGCTTTGGAGTTAGTCAAATGGGACGAAACTGATTGGTAAGTAAAAATCTTATTTCGCATTTGCTGCCATGTATCATCAAAAATAGTAAAAGAGAGGAGTAGTATTAAATGTCTACTTTATCATTTATTTACTAGTACAATTACAATACATGTTATAAATGTTTGTCATTTTGAAAAAGAGATGGTGCTCTCTCTCTCTCTCTCTCTCTCTCTCTTTCTTTCTTCCTTTTACAATCTTCCTTTTTCCGTTTTACTTATTTTCATCTTTCATTAATCTTCATCAATCTCCTCGTACTTTTCAATCCTCTTTTCTGCTTCCTCTTCGTTATCAATTTTGACCCCACCACTAACCGAAAACTGTCCTCCAGCTCCGATTAAGCGGATATCTTCGTTTTTGGTGGCAGTATTCACAATTCTGGTTGGCTGATCAACGTCTTCATCCAAATTTCCCAATCCGGGTGCATACGTCTCCGAAAAGCCCCACGCATAAACAACTCCGTCGTCAGTAATTGCGAACGAGTGATGTGAGCCAACACCTATCTCTTTTATCTTCACCTTCAGATCACTCTTCTTGCCAAACTTGATTTTTGTAGGAACCGGCACTGATCGGGGTTTACCATGCTGGTCCCTAAATGTAGATTTTGGAAGATCTTCTTCGGGGATCCCAACTTCTTTCATATCATATCTCCCCCAAGCAAGCACATCGCCATCCTTAGTCAATGCCAAAGTGTGATGTTCTCCAGCTGCAATTTGATGGATACCAAGATTGGACAACTCTGGAATTAAAGTTGGTTTGGTCAAAACAGAGCCATCCTCTAATTCTCCGTTAGCACCAGTTAACGCACATTGGCCAAATTGGTTCAAGCCCCATGCGAAAACATTGTCGTTGTGATCAATGGCAAAACAATGGAAATCGCCACTCGCTACATACTTGATATCGTATAGTCCAAACTGTTGCGGTTCTAAGTTTTTATAGCGGTGTCTCTCCAAGATTCTTCTTCCTAGTTGAAATTGCTGTCCATTTCCCCATGCAAACACAATTCCTTTTGAGTCAAGTGCTAGTAAGTGGTCCTTTCCCGCAGCAATCTGCACAATGTTCTTGAAAAGGTCAATTTTCAATGGCGTTCTTTGCATCTTGATCTCTGATCTCAAAAAGCCCAACATGCCCTCATTACATCGAAAACATCCCCAGGCATAAACGTCTCCATTGGACAAAAGAACTGCACTTAGATTGTCTGTAGCCGCTAGTTGCACAATTGAATGATCTACATTCAACCCTTCAACCAATCCAGGAACCGATTCAGCTTCATTTAAATCTCCGTCTTCGTCGTCTTCGCTATCTACCTCATCTATGTCTCTTAACGCTTCTTTGGCATGTGAAGTGTCTCTTCCTAGAACTGCGCTGTCATTCGTACCCCAAGACCACACACGATTTTTACCATCAAGTGCCAATGTATGCATTCCTCCCACGGCAAAATCAACTATCTTAGTCCCCCCCAAGCTTTCTTCAGTGAGGTAGGGATTCAATCTTGGTCTTTTGACCTCTTTTGTTTTTGCAGAGGGACCCAATCCCAATTCGCACATTGACCCTGTACCCCAGACAAAAATGTCAAGTCCAATTGTCTTTGCTTTCGGTATCTCGTTAATGTCCGGTAATTTAGAGTATGAGTGCAAAACAAAAGAGGAGGTGACAAACGAGGAGGATTTCAGCTTCTTATACGTTCTCGCTGAGCCGTCATCTTTCAGTTCTGTTTTTCTTCGAAGTGCCACCATTTGAGTTATCGGTCTTTTCTTTGCTATCTTTTAGAAACTGTTTATATTTTGACGTGATTCAATTAATGGAATGAAAAAAAAAAAAAAAAAAAAAAAAAGGTAATGAAATATGCTTTGAAAAATTTAACCGCCAGTAGTTTTGAAATGATCATCGNACCATTTGAGTTATCGGTCTTTTCTTTGCTATCTTTTAGAAACTGTTTATATTTTTTCGTGATTCAATTAATGGAATGAAAAAAAAAAAAAGGTACTGAAATATGCTTTGAACAATTTACACGCCTGTAGTTTTGAGATGATCATCGGAAGGGGAGCGTTTTATCTTCTACAGTTGGTTTAACAATTTTGAAGAAAGGAAGACCAAAGGAGAGAAGCAGAGAGAAAGATCGAGGCGAGAACAAGTTCGCTTTGTATTATACAAATATTATTTTCCGTTTATTCTATCAATTGATGAAATATTTTTCCTTTTTTTTTTTTTCTTTTTAGTTGAGAGGGTTATGACTAGGGACAGAATAGCCAGACCTTTTACTTGCCCACTTATTTTTAAATTCCACAAGAAAACGTGCAAAGTTTTGGAGCAAGTATGATAAAGATCCAATGGCACGGAATATCGACAAAACCGCCACAGTCCATAGAATGAACGCAAGATAGATATTTTTAGCCGTATCTCCTGGTTTATAGACCTGGAGCATTGTCATAATCAATATCAAATTCGAAACCATCCAAAATAAGACGACTTTGGTACGCACATCTTTGGCATAATCATCACCGTCAAGTCCCGCTTTAGCGTTTTGTTTAGAGCCCAACTTCTTACCCGACCGTTTTGCCCTTATATCGTATAACGCTTCAAGGTATACTTCATCCATATTCACATCTATAACCGTAGCCTCGTATTCGCCCTCATCGTTCTTTTCGATTATGTATCGGTTTGATGTGTCCTCCTCTGGGTTGTTATCACCTTTTGTTCCCCATGACACATCGTGGGTATTACAAAATGCAAATATTTGCAATGTGCAAGTATATGAGGGTATCATCAAGAAATATTGTACTGAACAAGTCAACATGTGCCAGGGGTCCAAATATAGAATAGATAAAACAGTGTATAACCCATAAGTTGATAGCAACGAAACCACAATGCTTGTCATCACATAAGTCGAAGTGTCACCTTTGGTGAATTGTTTGAGGGCTACAACAACGAAAACAAACGCTACTATCAAAGCGTACAATGCGCAGATTGTAAGCAATATAATCAATGTTTTAAAGATCTTGTGGGAAGCATGTGGACGATTTCCTATGGAAACAATGAATAGCGATGTTAGAACACAAATGCAAATGTAGTTGAATATCGTAAAAATCCAAAATCCTCCACGGTGACCAAGGTTTGTATAAGTTACTAATGAACCTGTTAAAAAGTAAAATGTCAAGTAAAAATTACTCAATGAAAAAAACGTGAATATCAAGCTGATAAACTGATAGGCAAATTCCACGTGAAGCCAAAATTTTCTCGCAAATGAGTGATCAGTAGACCATATCTTTCTGACGTGAGAAAGTGCATACAATGCAGCAAAAAATGCACCGTTAATCCAACGTCTTCTTTGGGCAAGAAACTCGGAAATTGTTTCTGGAACATCCGTCTCACCCGTTGCCAGTTTTACAAACTTTAACACCCAATTGTTGCCTCTCTTTGACACAAGTTCCCAACAAAGAATACGATCTTCGGCTAGATACATGTTTGCTTCAAAGAAATTGCTTTTTGTGTTTTCTTTTTCCCTTTCATGAGATTTGAGAAAGTCTTCGCCCTTAAAATAAGATGCCAACGGTCCTGTGCCATCCTCGTGGTTTTTCAAAGCAATATACCTATATGCCGATAAAGCACCTGGTAAAACCGAGATATACCCAAACACTGACTCTAGTGGCTTATCGAGAATGTTTGACATCTTATACTCGAAATTCTGAGATGCAACTAACGGATTCGTTAAATTGATCCAACCCTTCCCTTTCATTGCTTTGATCTCACCTGCTGCACCTGCAACATTGGAGTCTTTATCAAAAGCTTTCCATAAATTGTATATGGCTTGATTGTCGGGTTTTGTTCCAACATCTAGAAGCATCACAACATTCGGATCTAGTACAGGACAAAACGCATTGAATAACCACCTATGTGAGTTGATTTTCTTTTGGTTTTCCTCTTTCAAACAGAACAAGACTTGCACTGGTACAAGATTTTTTTCATGTCCTTTGAATTTCAAATTCTCGTCTATTGATATCTGCGTTGTATATTCGAATAGGTGCGAGTGAACTTTTTTATTGTTAACATACGGTCTTGCCAAATTCTCTTGATAACATCCAGTTGCCGTTAACAATTGTAGGACTGCGTCATTAACTTTATTTCTTCCATCTGCAACAATAATGACTTGAATCTTTTTCCAGCTGTCCTTCCCCCATACTTTGGATTTGTACCTGGAGCACAAATGTGCAACATTCTTCATGACCCCATGCATAGTTCGAGCAAAAGATACTTCATCTTCATTATACATTGTTATACAGATCACGATTTCAGTTTCACGCCCATACTTTGCTGCTCTCAACGTGAAGCCCTCCTCAATAAAGTCGTCTGGTTTGGCTGTGCATGCAGTATACGTCATGTTTGTGAACTCGCCAAACGGCGACTCCGTTCTACTCAAAACCTTTTTAAGCTCAACCGGTATAGGATTTTCCAAAACCAAGTTACCACTCGATCCACCAATCACTCTCACTTTTCTTTTTGTCATTGTTTTGTCTCTAGTGGGGACATATCCATTCTCTATATTATGCATAATATTGCCATCAATCGAAGTGCTGAAATATTGGGTACTTTCGCCTACATTATCAGGCGCATAAGAGCTCCCACTATAAGCTGTCGAGTCAGAATAGACCGATTTGACCTCCTCCCAAGTGTGACTTGCACCTCCTCTTTTGAAATTGTCCTTTTCATACACATGCTCTTCCTCATCCTCATCCTCATCATGCACGTTATGGTAGGTTGCCTGATCATCTTCATACTTGTTGTCATTGCTAGCAAAAACTTCTGGATCAAATATTGGTTGGGGAGGATCTAGGTACCTTTGGCTACTTATTGTACTATTTTGGAGAGACCGAAGAGGAGACCCAGTGTAGTTGATAAGATTTTTGTCTTCTCTTTCTTCTTCATAATCATCATCATTATTATCATCATAAATCATAACTTCTGTTTCTCTTTTCCGTTTTGGTGACTCCTTGGATGTATAATGGTCTCTAGGTGTTGTGTTTATTGTGTCTAACTTGTCATGGTGCAAATGTGGAGTATTTCCCTTGAATGGAGACTCTTTCTGTCTACCAGTAATCTTAGCCGTACTCCTAGTAAAGATATTTGGGGACCGTTTTGGATTTGGCAGCTCCTGCTGTACTATTGATTGAGGAAAACCTGCGAATTCATCAGGATCTTCACTATCATGCTCACTCTCATTTCCCAATGATTGGTATCGTTTATGCGGACTCGGGCGTTTAGTGTAGGCTGAGTACGGCAATTCAAGTTTTGAGCCATCCACTGGATACGCTTCGTCGTCAAATGGATTCATCACTCACAAATGGGTAAAAATGAAAAAAAAAAAAAGAATTGAAAGCCTGTGGGGTTTATTCCATCTTCAATTGGGGTGACTATTTTCCTCCCTATTATATGTTAACGTCTATTTAAGAATCCATCAAGTGAAAAGTAAATTGTCCCAAAAGAGAAAAATCATAAACAATCAAATTTGAAAAAAATATCAACATTTTTTTTTTTCTTTTTCTTTACTCAAACCTTTTCTTCGTAAACTATTTGATTGGAGATTGGAAAAAGCATTTTCTATACCTGGCAAAGTGTCCATTTTGGACTACAATGGGCAACTAGTTTACTGTTTGTCCTTACTTCGAATCCTCCCATACACATACACTTTCTTTCTTTCTTTCTCTCACATTTGGTGTACTCTTTCCGCCTAGTTTGTCGCTCGCTTGCAAGTACACTCACTAATTTTTACTCAAATTCACACCAAATATAGGAAAAAAAAAAAAAAATATCGCTAATGATTCGGGTAATATAAGCTGTTGCTTGGGATTCCGTATCCTCTTTGATTATTCATTTAGCTTTATTTCCAGTTTGGTGAGTTGAACATTCATCTGCACAAGGATGCGCTACCATATTCGTGAGTTTGTTGAAGTACCAAAAATCATGCAAACTAAGACGATTTTTCGTGAATTGGACTATAGACCAAAAATCATGTTTTCCCTACAGTCAGCTTAAAGATTTCTCATGGTTCAATTGAAGTGAACGTAGGTATGGTGGGAGTACGCAAGATAGTCAAAGAAAAGTGGAACAGTAAAAAAAAAAGAGAAAAAGAAAGAAGTTTTGTATGAAAGGATTTTGTGAACAACCATGTCCAAAAGAGTCTCTGAAAAATAGTTTCAAATGATTTCTTCTTCTTTTAAAGTTCTCGAGTTTCATTTATACTTACCCTATGGTTTACATTGGGGTAGAGCATATATGTAGATACACCAAGTTTTTTTCATGCAATATATACCTGTCTTTCGACCCATGCTTGACTTTTTCAAGTCTATATATTGAAATCACGCAAAATCTCCTATTTATGACTCAAACTCCTATAGCTTTAGCTTGATACATTATTATGTCATTGTGCAATTAACTAATTGGTACGAACCGATACAGTTCTGGTTGGATTTTTGTTGATTGATGTGAATACACAAATTGGAGTATTTATGGCTGCAAAAAAAAAAAAAGAAAAAAATAAAGAAAAGCATTCTTTTTTTTTTTTTTTTTTTGCAACAATTGAGTTGTGAACACCTTTTTTCTCCAGCTCTCAAACAAATTACATACAGTAAGGCAAACAAGTATAACGTGTTTGATAAACCAGAGTAACGAATGTTGAAGGACAGGACCAAAAACAAATGACAAAAAGAAGAAAAGTTCTCCATTTATGAGGTGCACAAAGTTGTCATTGCTTTGTTTCCTCGAGAGTCAAACACCTGCAACAATTAGATAATAGTGGTTTACTAAAGGGATCTCTTATTCGTAAAATTGAGAACAAGTGATTCTAAAAAAATGATTTTTTTCTTCTTTATTGCACCATATCATACAAGTCTCAAAGTAACTCAATAATGAATGAAATCATTAGTTTGAATATTTCTTGTAAATCGTTTCTCCTTTAGACAAAACATTGTTGAAGAGTCTCACAAATTCAAATCAGGTCTTCTAAGAGTAACTTTGATCTTCAACTGGAATATCATTTATCTTGACTTGGCCATATTAATGTAGCCCTCAAGCTTACAATGAAAGCAGTAGCTAGACATGAGGTGACTGTATGCAAAATAAGCAATCCAGAGAGAAAAAAATGTCTGATACAACTGCTCTTCCAAGTACATGTATTGGGGGAATAAGTACCATCTTGTGGAAAAAACCCCATGCGGTCTGGGGTTTATGATATTCATTAATAAACATTACGTTCAAAATATGCTATTCTTATCAATTGACGTCTAACCAAGACCAAATGGATGAGAAAAATCAAAATGATGCTTTTTATTAGTCCACCTAGATTAATTGCTTGATTCTTTTGTCACATAAAGGTATGGAAAAATATCTATATATAATGCCTATATCTTAAATGAGAACGACCAAAAAAGCATTCTATGAAAACAAAAAGCTGGGAATGTTCAAAAGTCAATATCAACTTCTTTACAAAGTCTTTCAACATCCGAATCACCTTTTTTGTACTCATTTTTCGGCCCAAAACCTTTCTTTAAACGCCTCACACTCTCATGAGCACTTTGGGGAAAGGTTTCATAAGCAACGATAATTCAGAAGCCATACTGAAGTAACAAAACTAAACACACTTTTGCCATAAATTTTCCGAGCACAGATTGACACGTATTCGGGGCAACAATTCTTACTTTCTTTTTGGTCAATATCATTAAATTCATTCACACCAAGATGGGGTGGTAGTGGCCAGTCAGTATTTAATTTCAAATTCCCACTTACATGCATAATTTTGATGTTCAAACTTTGGCATTTCGATCAATTCTTTAACATAGCATTATATAGACTAACATTTTTCTTTTTAAACTCAATTGTGATGGATAAAATCTCATGCGTCTTCCTCTCAAAAAGTCTGTTGCAACAAGTAAACTGTTCATCAGGTTAAGAAATTAGATTCAGGTCTAGCAAGTACAACTCACATTGGCAATGCTTCGACTTCAAGATTTTTTGCTGATAAGTTTTCTTGGGGCATGAGATACTCCTGGAGCCAAAGGCTTGGTTGTATTTTCAACCCACATTGTCTACCTTATTTTTTTGCCCCTTACTCCTGAGTCACAGCTAGTAGCACTTTTTAGATCCACGCATCATCTTAGTTTCCTTCATTGAGTACTGTAGCTTTCGCAACTTTGGCAACATTTCCACAATCATTGAATATTTTTCATCCGTTAAGCTTGAGAACGGATTGCAAGTCATCAAAAACAAACTTTTAGACAAAAGGCCCTCTGACTTCAAGAAATGAAAGTAAACTTTGAATTTGGAATGTTAAAAGTAGAGAAATTGATGGTACCAGAGTAATCACCCTTCATTCTTTAGCCTTGTAGCTTTGTCCATGTACTGCATCTTTCTGTCCCATCCACAATTCAAAAATTGATTTTTCAATACAGATTTTGTTACAGCACCCGAGTGCCATTATTGATTTCTTCTCCTCCCTCCTCCGGCTACTCCTATTACTACGCACACATAACCACACACACACACACACACACACACACTCACAAATATACAAATATACTAATATACATACATATATATAATAGATTCTTAAATGGTTACACCACACCAGAGTAATGAGCGACAGTAAAAAACAGCTGAACTATTTTTACACACACAGCAACAACTCGACATCTTCGAGAAGCAGCCATGTTGGCGAAATGAAACAGGTTTCCCAGGTATCTAATGTTGATTTCACTAATCTAAGGAGAATGTCTACTAGCAACTCTCATGTTTCGGAGAGCAGCAACAATACTATGAAGAACAATTCTTTAGCCAAATTGTTTTCAAAAAATAAGTCTTCAACAACGATACAGCCCGACCAGTTTAGCAGTAATGAACGGTCAGAAGTTTCTTCTGAAAAAGAAGTTTCAACAGATGAAACGGCAAAAGTAGTGGGTTCCCGGAAAAGCAGAAAGATGCCCAGACTAAAGCTTTCAAGTAAGAAAACACATACAAGCACGCCAACCTCTGATCACACAACAGCCAATGAAACAGACAATGCTGCTTTTAATTACACAATAACCACAACAACAACAGCAGCAACACCACCACCACCACCAACAACAACAACAACAACAACCACAAGCACCCTGAGTACGAAAACCAGAAAAATGTCAATAGGCTCTTCTGTGACGAGCTTTCACAACTTGTTCCACAAACCACTCACGAGTTCGCTGTCTACGAAAAATGAAGATAAGATTCGTACCGACAGTCTGCACACTTCACCTTCAAAGAGTGCAGTTGGATTGTCGTCGAACAACTCAAACTCCATGATAACTGATCCAACTCTTGCAAGTATGTTCAGGTTCACCAATGCCAATCACTCGATAGAGGAAAACGAAGGTACATTTGATCATGGAACCCTACTTGAATTGCAACGGAAAATGTTTACACCGGCAGACCTGTATATTCAACACAAGATAAACAAATATCATCAGCAAGATATTGGATTGGGTATAACAAATGAGCATGACATGACAAACGATACGGAGCCAGACACAGCAGACCAAATCAGATTTATTAAGTTTCACCAAAGGTTATCCGATACCTTACGGCCGTTATTTATCCCACAGCATAAAAGTGATGGAAACTGGGTGCCATCCACCAGGATTCTTGGTGAATCTGTTGAAGATCTTGGAATGGCAATAAAGGAAAGCTTTTTGGATGCAGCATCTCAAGCAAAGAAAGTTGGCACAATTAGCAAACAGCACAAGCCCCGAGGGAAAATATCAAAATCTGGAATAAAGAGTCATCCGCAACCTATTCAAATTACAAATGAAACAAATCATATAGTTTCTAATCAATATCATGTGCAACCCTTTGTGCAAGAATTGACAGTAACCTTAAAAACTTGCATGATAACTTTGAGAGGTCATTTCATGAATATACAACATTCCTCATACGAAGAAGGAACAAATTCAAGCCTTTCCTTTAATCATATTCCCCAAGACATCACTCATTCTTGGAGGCAACTTCTGCGTTGTTGGAACTACTTTAACTTGCAGATTAGATTCCTCGTAATAGGTATCCTTCATCCACTTAAGGTGCATTTCATCAACGACTGTTATGAGCACCTCCCCACAGCAGATTTTGAACTACTAGATGTCGACCAGCTTTTGCTCCTAGCATTTGATACAACAATATTACGTCCATTCTTACGAAACAGAATTGCCACAACGAATCAACTAACCAATCATTTTGCAAACATTACATCGCTTTCAGACTTGTTTAGTAGTACAGAAGAAGAATATTTCAAAAACAACCCTACAATATGCGAAAGTCTCAAGAATTGTTTTGGCACCATACAAAGCAGGCTAGACTCCACAGCAGTCAGAACAGATTTTGAAACAAATCTACACGCGGAGGTTTTGTCAACAACAGTAACAAACATGTCTTGCATTATTGCCGCAACTGTAAATCTGTAACAACTAGATGGAAAATACACATCAGAAATATCTGGCACCGCAACATAATTTCTTGCAAAGACCCAGTCTCATATTCTCTTTCTTTGCTTTATAAACTCAAACCTAACAAACGTATCAGATATCAACTCTCACCTAGCTATGAAACTTCATCTGGTAAATCAGTCTCTCATATACTTAATTTATTACCTCGCCCAAATTTCTTGTACGATAACTATCCTTACATATGATCTCCAAGTAACAAGTTGACGACCCCAAAGTCAATTTCTCCCAAATAATAATAACCTTCAGCAATCAACCTCACTCTATATCTGGTAATTATTTAATCGCATGATTGGATAGGACTACAGAGATCAAGCAGACCCTGTTTAGAGTGCCAATAGTAATTTACAAAGCATGACAGGAAACGAAAACAGTGACACTAAAAATTAAAACTTCAATAAACCAAAGAACTTTACCATTGCTACACTATAATACGTAATCTAACCGGATTGTGCCCTATACTTCATTAACGCCCAAAAAACATTCACCACAGCTGAAGTTAAAAAGAAACTGAATATTACAACATTGTCTCATAGAACGAAAACAGTTATTATTTGAATTTAAGAAAAAATAATTGGCAATGTAATAATGGGGACCCCGAACCGCCACATATTCAAGACCTCGATAAAATCCACCATTTAAATCAACATACTTGATTTTAATCCAATTACTTATCTGTTCAGAAACTTGCATGTATTTTCAAGGACCACTGATTCAATACAAGAATAAAAAGAGCAACAAATGTATTGTTTAAATGATCAAATTTAGCTGATGAAACTATTTTGAGGAACAACGGAGTTCAAATACCAATATCAGTTGTGCTACACAACGAACATATCACATCAAAATGTTATTGGTGCATCAGGATTCAAATATCGGCACCGTAAGAAACTCTTGAGTTAAATTTGAAGATTTTTGTTCTCAAGGGATAAGTGCTGAAACTAGGAAGAATGCAAATGTAATTGATTTTCTAGCCTGATATATGATATTTTTTTAGCTACGTAGTTGTATTGCAATCTTTCGCATGCTTTGATTTGAGATTGTTGATGCGGCCACTTACGATCGTAATTTCAATAGCTCGGAAACGTAAGCAAAAGTGGAGGTGATAAAAATGACTTGTTATTACTCTTGTTCATCGTCATCTCACCGAACTACTTGTTTGTCACAATACCCAACTGTTACTGTTGTTAATTTCAGAAAAGACATGACTCAATATTTAGCTATAAATTTTATCAATTTGCTTTTATCTATCAACATATTGTTAGACATTACACATGAACTAGAAGTAGCAGTTTTATGTTTTATCAGCGAAAATGTTTTTTCGAAGAAAAGAGGAGTCAACGATATGTTGTCATATATGGATTGACTGATAGTATCGTTTGAAAATGTTTTTTAGCGAATGTTATTGTACGCACCTAGAGTAGGAAAACTCACGTAAGTACTTTATATGCTTTTTTATTTTGTAAGAGGTTCCATTCATAGTACAACTTTTTATTGAATGTTTTCATCTCACGATATACATTATCTTTTTCTTGGAGATTGTTGATTTTTATTATGTTCATTTTTTGGAGTTACCGCGCTTGCTGCGATTTTGGTGGCAGTTTGTTAAGTTCTTGAAAATTAATTTTAGTAGAATGGGATGTTATATGTAGTGGTTTTAGTTCGTTTGTCCCTCTTAGCAGAGTCACCGTTTTAAGCTTCATTATCGTGCTTGTCTGCTGGTCTCTCTTTTTTTATATCTTTAGCGTCGGCTGTATAGAAAAAAGTTTTATTTGTTTATGAATGAGGATTTAACTGGTTGTAGAAATTTAAGCTTACGATCCAACTTTTTGATTCTTTATCGAGAACGTTTACTGGTTTATTTGGTAGTTGCACTCTTATTTGAATCAAGTCATAGGATACGTGTAGATATGCTAGAAACTGCTAGGAGAATGATGAAATATTTGTTCTTTTCCAATGTGATTTGTTTTTGATCGACGTATGTTGTCCCCTGTGTTGTATTATGTGCTCACTATTTTTTAAGTTTCGTATATGTGTGTCACCATTTGAGTTTGTCATTAGTTTTAACATTATATTTGGGCTAAATAATGTTTGGCGGGTTGCAGAATGAGGGTAAGAACTTTTGTTTTGTATTTTATTTTTGATTTACTACATTGTTTCACATACGAAAGTTATACACGCGAATACAGTATTGTGATTGAAGTAGGATCTTTACTCGTCGTCTTCGTTATCATCTTGGTATCCATGTTTTCTTATTTCCACTAATCTTTTTCTTGCATAGAGTAATTTATTTTCCAATTTCAATATCTCCACCTGTTGTTCCATTTCTAATGTCTTTCCTTCGTATGGCGTTAATTTGCTGAGATCGATGTTTTCCCCATGTTGTTCATCTTTAGTTAATAAGTGTTGAACGCTTCCAACGAGTGATTTGCAAGCACGGGTAACATCTTTTGAAGCGTCTTCCAAATTGTCTTGATTCTTCGAAACAAAATTAGCTTTGACTCTGGACGCAGCTACTAATTGGGCAGTTGAGGCAGCAACCTCATTTGAGGCAACTATTAACTCCTCATGTGAATTTTTTTGACGTAATACACCATCAGAAGTATGAATCAAAATGTTGGTTGCCCCCGCTATTGCTTTAGCAGCACTAATCAATCCTTCCGTCCATCTGTTGTTCTTTTTGTAAAACTCCGTTATGGGCTGACTTCCTTTGCCCCTTTCAACAATTTCACGTTGTGATTCAACTGAGGCTTTGATCAAACGACCAACAGCATCTGTGACATCTTTCGCAGAAGACAACAAGGCCTCATGTACATTGACATTGCCTCCATAAATACTAGGATCTTTTAATAAATCTGTCAAAAATTGAGATGCTAATGTAACTGCTTTCACGGTTTGGTCCATTTCGTTGTTCAAGAAATCTTCTAAATTTCCTTCTATTTTTATTCCTCTAGAGCTCTTGAACGAATCTAACAAGCCACCTAACATTTTCAATGAAGTCTGTAACTCAAGGTTGGCATCAATGATGGAATCTATCTTTTCCTCTTCAGTTTTGAGTTTCTCTAATTTATCGGATTTTAAGCCTTGATAGTAGTTCTCTGCGTCGTCCAACACATCCAATGTCAGTTTCAAAATCTTCTCTTCTTCCACATTGGAAAAATTTTTAGCAAGACTTTTTACATTTACTGATAAGTCGCTCAAGGATGTTGCCAAGGAGGAACTCGTCAAGATAATATCAGAAAATGTTTCCTCGTCCTGGTTATTACTCTCGGCAATGTATTCATTGAAAGTGGATGCAAAATCGGTTGCAAAATCAGAACAAAGTTCAATTAGGGATAACAAGTGTTCTGGTGAGGTACTTTGATTTCCCGCATGTATGTCCATCAATGATAATTCATGTTTCGAATCCAAGATTCGTTTAATATTGCTGTCTAAAATCAAATCTATTAAACTTTTAAATCTGGAAAGATGCTCCATGATAATGTGATCAATTTCCGCATTAACGATATCATCCTGATCTTCTTTGAAACGACTGAGCTCTGAGTAGGCTGCTTCAAGAGATTGATTTGCAATTTCTAATTCAGTATCTTTATCTCTCAATTTTGCTTGCAAGGAATCAAAATCTCCCAAATTTTCAAGCTGTGCATTTCTATCGTCAAGTTTTGACTTTAAATTTTTTATCTCCTCCTCATGCTTGGCCATTAATGCACTTAAATTCAAGTTTTGTAATTTTCCAGACTCCTTTGCAGATACGTTTAGCTCCCTAACTTCTGCCTCTAATTTCTCGATTTCTTTGTCCTTTCCTGCTTTCACCCGGTCTAGTTCGAGTCTTGCTCGATCTCTCTCGCGGATCAAGTCTGCCAACTCAAGATTTTTGGCTTTCAAATCTTTTTCAAGTTTTTCCTTTTTCATTATCGATTCTTGTGCGCTGCTTATCTTTTGCTGTATCTTCTTGAACTTTGCTAACAAGTTTAAATGTTCCTGGCGCAATTGAGAATACAATTTTGCAAGGGACTCGTATTTTTTGGTCCAATTGGCAATTTGCTCTTCTAAATTCTTAATTTGTTCGCTTTTAGAAGCAACCTGTTGCGTCGCGGTATCGTTGAAGGCTGCCATCTCATTTTCCAAGCTTTTCACTCTTGAATCGTACTGTTGTAAAAGCTGCTGATCATTGTCATATTGGTTTTTAAACAAAAGCAAATCACGTTCCAACTCAGCCACACGTCCTTGTTGTTGTTGAGTTTGTTGCATCTGGAGAGCCTGTTGCTCCTCCATAAAACGCCGTTCTTGGTCGCGTTGTTGTTGTTCGAATTGCTGTTGTTGCTGTTGCTGTTGTTGAAGTTGTTGTTGGCGCTGAAGCTCCAACTGCTGTTGAATTCTTTCCTGCTCTTGCTGCTGCTGATACAAGTAGTTATTCTGAGCAGTGTATAGATTCTCATTGGGGGGCTCTGGTGCTGGAACAGGAGTCTCGGTGCCCGTTGTAGGCTGTGGAGACAATTGTGCTACACTGTTTTCGCTAGTGGCGGTAGCCGAGCGAAGTCTAGGTAAGGATTGGCCTTCATCGGCGATCTGTAAGTCAGGCGAATTATTTGGAAGACGTGGAATAGTTATCAAACTAGTTAAAAACTTGATTGAATAACAGTCAGTATAGAAATCTCTAAGCATAAAGTGTTGAGACTCAAATCGATCAAATAAAACAGTCAACGCTTCATCGGCGCCCAATTGCTGATACATTGCCCTTAGCATGGAAATGCAAAATTTGTAAATACCATAGGATTCAGAAATCAAAGGGACTAAAGCACTCACTTTACACAAGTTGCTATGGCTCAGATGAAGCGTGGCAAATACGAGCTTTTGCAAATCGTCAATCAGATCTTGAAGATCCATGAGCTGCAAAATTGATTCATAGCCTTCGTTTGGGTCGCTCACCGCTCTCAAAGAGAGATACTCCTCGTACTCAAATGTTCCGTTGAACCCTGGATTGTTGCGGTGAAAGTCTAGTTTTTGCAAGAGATACCTATCGTACTGGTGGATCAACTTGCCGTAAGCCAGTCCGTGGGTCGAAAATACTGTTGCTAAGGATGCAATGAAGTCCCTATTTCTATAAGCATCTTTGAGCGTATTTGGATGCCCCTCTTGCAAAACCTTATGAATCATTATCAATGCTTTAAACAATTGTACTTCAGAGCTTTGCAAAGGTTGTATCTTAACTGCATTCCAAAATGCACGAGAGTTTTTGTGGTCCCAAGTGTACACTATACAAGCCCGTACATGCTTTCTTTTCGGGGGTACTTCGTCGGTGTTGCAAGCTTTCTTTACGCTTGTTTGTAAATCAACTTCTGCGCGACTCATTTTTCTAATAACAAAGGAATTGTTTAAGGTAAAAAGCTCTTTTTAAGTCGTCTAATCAGTATACTCCGGTGTGGTCAGCGAATTTGGTTTTTAATATAATTGCGTGAATTATTCAACAAAATCATACCAGCGATTATCAGCCATGAATATTTCTATACAATAGGGAAAAAAAATGGCCGAAAAAAAAAAAAAATCAATTAAATTACGTAACACATTTCTACTAGTTGAAATACATGTATATATTTATAAAGAGTATATATATCTTTTACATAGCCAGCCAATGCACCAGCAAAAGTGAGAACAATAATTTGTCTTAGCCTGCAAAAGCAGAGAGAGTGTGTGTGTGTAATCTCCAGCAATAGAAGTTTCACTTGACGAAGGATTTCCGCAACACAATGTTGTACATCATTGAAAGGAAGGAAAAAAAAAAAAGATGTTACTCTCTTTAACCCTTTCTGTAACGAGTTTTACCAATATCAAAAGGTAAATACTTATATCTTATCATATGCTGGATCTGCTTTCTCATTGTGAGTGTGAACAAAACAATGAAATACATTAACAAAATTGGCCAAAAAACGGGTATGTCAAAGATACTAAAGAATGTTAAGCACAAGCTGAGCAAACTAGCTCTTGTTGCATTGTACCAAAACTTAAACTCGGGTAATCTCCTTATAAATGGTCTAAATTCTTCGTCGCCGTTTTCCGGCAGTTGCTGCATCTCCTCTTCCATTCCTTCCTCGATTGTCTCATTTTTCATTTCTTGCTCTAAAGATGGATCAAATTTCGGTGTCAAAAACGCCAAAAATAGATTTAGCAAATAGATACCCAAAGCATAGCAAATAATGTACCAGCCTTGGGTAAGAAATATCCTCGTGAAAAACAATAAAATCAAAACTGCAAACGCTAGCCATCTATACCTCGTATATGGTACCAATTCATCAATAAATTTCTGGTAAGTTACCAATACTTTTCGATAGTTCTGATGTACAGGATTCTCAGATGAGACCTCAAACGGGAAATTCATAGGCATTATTATCAAAGGATATGCCGTAACTATTGATCGGGGAGAAGGACTTGGCTCGATAATCAATCAAGCAATCTATCAAGCGATAAGTTGTTGTTCAGAATATTGAAAAAAAAAAAAAATTGTTTTTGGAACTAAAAAAAAAAAAAAAAAGGTACGAGACACGAAACGAGAAACTGTTAAAATCTTAGACATTTTCATCAGTTCAAAAGTAACAAGATCTACTACAAACAACAAAGAAAGGCAATGCACTAGAGAATTGAATTGGCGCTACTTTATATTTACGGTTTCGTTAATCGACAATTAAAAATGCCAGGCATGCAGGCAAAAAATATATTTTCTATGTACATATATATATATATATATATAATCAGTTTTTTGGATTATATACTCCATTGATTGTTTCAAGCAAAAGCTTCCTTAGGACGCCCTATAGTTTCAACACGTCTCTTTGACTCATTATAAATTCGCTGAACTATGACATTTTCAGGAACGTTCTTTGGATCGATGTCAGTAATAACAGATCCAGGAATATCGTATGGTAAAGTTTTGCACAAAAATTGTTGTCTCAATTCTTGGCGTTCTTTGTTGTTGAATGCACCAGGGGTTTCTATAAGATCGGCTGCTTTCTGTCTATAATCTTTCTGTAGTGCCTCTGTTTTGAAAAGAGTCTCCAATTTTGCCCTCAATTCTTTTCTCAAATTGTCAAACTCCGTTTCACTCATGCTCTTGAACAATATTGCATCCTGTGACACTCCAATCTGACCATCAATTTTCTCCGAAAAGCTAATGTAATTCAGCTTTGCTAGCTCGAATTCCTCCATGTTCAACTCATTTTTCCGATACTGAAGCCTCAAATTGTACAATCCATTGTAGGTTTCTTGTATCCGCGCTGCAAATAACGTTTCTCCCGCTTCTACTAGCTCCAAAATATTGACCAATCTCTTTGCTGCGAGTTCCATATCACCTTCTGTCAAATCCATGGCAAAGTCATTTGCAATGGACTGTTTCATCTTCTTTATTCTAGTAGATCTAAGTGCTCCTTTTTGCCGACGAACTCCTTCCAATTTGGGCCTCAACTGTGATTCTTTTCTTGATTGCTCTGCTTCTGCTGCCAAGGCAGCAGTAGGGTCGGTGATAGGTACATATCCAAATCTCCTTAATCTTGGCGCAAAATGCTCCTTTGGTAATCTAATGTCCTTTTTCAAAGCAACACCCACATACTTTCTCATGGGATGAAATGGGTCAAGGTAGAATCTAACAAAACCAGGCTCCACTGCGTATATTGTGTGATCTACACCTATTCTCACATTCTCGCCAGGGTGTATTTTAGTTCCTCTTTGTCTCATAATAATCTGTCCAGGCTTGACGGGATGTCCCTCGCTCACTTTTGGCCCCAATCTTCGACCTGCTGAATCTTTATTATTGGTCTTTGATCCCGAAACTCTCTTAGTTGCAGAACGAATCTGAACAACATTGATAATGACACTGTTTTTCAAATCCACCGCACATCGTATCTGATGAAATAGACTTTTAACTAGGGGCATTCTTTATGTTCAGACGCTGGAAAGAAAATCTTCGTTGATGGATTGGTTTTTCTCTTTTTTTTTTTTTTTTTTTTCTTGTTCAGAACCTACCTGAAAAAAAAAAAAATTGGGATGAAAGCGCTATCTGCAGAAATTTAAGAGAAATACAATTGTAAAAATATCCTTACATGGCGTAGATTGGCTGAAAGAGTTTGTTGGAGTTAACGGATAATGATTCGTTGTTAATGAGTAGAGGACTTACTTCTTCTATATTTGGAATAACCATTCAGGAGCAGACCCCCTCCCCAATTTTTTTTTTTTTTTTTTTTTTTGACTAGGCACGGTTGTTGATGTACTCATTCAAGATCTTTAGTGTCAATAAATGATCCTCCTCCTGTGCCAATCCACTAATTGTGAAAGCTCCAACAATCCCATCAAATGATTTTACTCTTATAGGCACACTTCCTCCATGGCCAGCGTACTCCTTCGATGAAATAAACAAAGCTTCCTCCATCGACTTTCCTTTTAATCGTAGTTTTTGTCCGACATGAAAACTCGACTTGCCAAACCTGAAAACCGTGTTATATTTCCTTCGTATCCATTCGTCATTATCCGCAGTAGTCCCTGAGGATACAGCGGTGCGAAACAACTGATGACCATTAGCTAAGGTAATGTCTATTATTATAGGTCTATCTGGATATTCTTGTTGACAGAATTCCCGCGCAAATACGCCTAGTCTCCAAGCGGTTTTTGCACTAAACTCGTAAAATTCAAGACCACTCTCAAGATCATCAAGTTGGCTTAATGTGTAGGAATATATCTCGTGAGTCATTGCTTTCAAAAATGAAGAAGCAACGGTGTGTAATAACTTTTACCTCATCATTCATTCATAATGTAGAGTGAAAAAACATAAATGAAAAAAAAAAAAAAAAGAGAGAATACATTCTATTGACAATCGGAGTAAAACTTCAATACCAAAACTTTGAGGCTTCCATCCACCCCCTTGCTCCACCTTCCTATCCTTCTCTTCCAAATATTGAGATTTGATAAGCTCAAAAACAAAATAATGTATAGCACGATATCTTCACAGCCAAAGCACCTTGATTACATGGTAAACAACAGACCTGCCACTGACTATGGAGAAGGAACTTCTGTTTCCTCCAACATGGCTTTAAGTGATGAGCAGATATATCAATGGATATCAGAACTTGTGTCCAGCACAAACCGAGAGAAGGCATTATTGGAATTGGGAAAGAAGAGGGAACAGTACGATGATTTAGCATTAGTTTTGTGGAATTCATTTGGAGTAATAACGGTATTGTTAGAGGAAATTGTTAGTGTCTACCCGTATTTGGATCCACCAAATTTGAGTGCATCAACATCCAATAGAGTTTGTAATGCTTTAGCACTACTCCAGTGTGTGGCGTCAAGTGCCCATACACGTGGTTTATTCTTGAATGCCAATCTACCCTTATATTTATATCCATTTTTATCAACAAATGCTCGCCAGCGGTCATTTGAATACTTGAGGCTAACCAGTTTGGGAGTTATAGGGGCTTTAGTGAAGAATGATACACCTGAGGTAATCAATTTCCTTCTCACCACGGAGATTGTGCCTTTGTGTCTTAATATCATGGAGATTTCGTCAGAGTTGTCGAAAACCGTTGCTATATTTATCTTACAGAAAATCTTACTAGATGACCAAGGCTTGACCTATGTATGTACTACTTTCGAAAGGTTTCATACTGTAGCATCTGTGTTATCGAAAATGGTTGACCAATTGAGTAGCACCGCCACGTTGGGTTCAATTAATGCGCAAACTGCACAACTGATGCAACCCCAGGCCCAATTACAAAGCCAAGGTCAGTCAACAACGTCTACTCCCTCAAATAGTTCGGGGCGATTATTGAAACATGTTATAAGATGCTACATGAGATTATCGGATAACTTGGAAGCACGAAAAGCATTAGCTAATATATTGCCAGAGCCATTACGAGATGGGACTTTCTCGGTAATATTGCATGATGATGCAGCCACAAAAAGATGTCTAGCACAGTTGTTGAGCAACATAAATGAATAAGGATGGATAAGCATATGGTGGTTGAGTTTTGAACATGCCGCGCGAAGCATTCATTTTCTAAGTAGAAAGGAAGCAAGTTCCATCATTTCTTTGTGGAAATGAGATTTGATGCAGAAGTCAGTTTTCACGATGCGAGACACAAAGTATGGTATTGTTCCAAACAAAAAAAAAAAACATCAAAAGAGTAGGTAACTCACAAAATAGAGGAGTTTTTGCAAAAGAATTAACTTGATGTAGCTGAGTATTTAAAGCATATGAGAGCGTGCATTTATGGGAACTTATAGAAAAATAAAGAGACAAAGATGCTCTTTCTTTTTGCAATATTTCATAGTTTTCGAAACAAATAACCTTGTATAACATTTTGCCCCTATCTCTCCACAAACACCCCCGTATTTTCCCTCTTCTTTTTTCCTGCCGTCCTTCCCTTCCCTTCCCTTCCCTTTCCTTCCCTTTCCTTCCCTTTCCTTTCCTTTCCTTCCCTTCCCTTCCTACTCGCACGTACAAGTTTACAAGAAGAAGAAAAAAAAAACGAGAAATATGGGCCACTTTGCTCAAGATATACACATTGTGTGTATTATTAAGAATTAACTATCAAAGTATATTCAACAAAAATCTTTACTCCTCCTTTACGTCCAATGGGGTCAACCTCAAGTATGGCTTAATGATTCTGAATTTTGGGAAAAGAGTCTTTGCCTCTTCGTTTGAGACGGTAGGGTGGACAATAACATCGTCACCTGGAACCCAGTTGATTGGAGTTGTGACTCTGTATTTATCACCAGTTTGTAAAGAGTCAATTACCCTCAACACTTCTGCTGTGTTTCTACCAGTACTAGCTGGGTATGCTAAAGTTAACCTAATCTTCTTCTTTGGGTCAATAACAAAAACGGATCTGATGGTGAATTGAACTCCCTTGTCGTCAACATTGGTAGCATCTTGGTAATCAATCATATCATACAAATAAGCAATTTTTCTTTCGGGGTCAGCAATGATTGGGAAGCTCAATTTGGAGCCAGTAACTTCATCAATATCTTTAATCCAAGCCTTGTGGGAATCGGAATTGTTAGCTGACAAACCAATCAACTTGACGTTTCTCTTGGCAAATTCTGGTTCCAATTTGGCAAATGCACCTAATTCGGTGGTACAAACTGGAGTAAAATCATCGGGGTGACTAAATAAAACCGCCCAAGAGTCTCCAATGTACTCGTGGAATGAAATTGGACCATTGGAAGTTTCAGCTTGGAAATCTGGTGCAGTTGATCCTAATCTAAGGGTCTTAGCTTCTGTTTTTTCAGCCATTGTGGTTTGTCTTTATCTCTAGTAGTGGTGGTGGTGGTGGTGGTGGCAGCGGAGTTTTAGCAATTTGTTAGAATTGTGTTGAAGTGGAAAAAAAAAAAAAAGTAATGGGACACTAGCATGTTATTTATATTGTGGATTTTATCCAACATGGGCGGGGTTAGACTACTACCCCTTCATTTAAAAGCAATTGAGCGTTAAGTTATAAGTAACAACTACCTCTTAAAGCGAGTATTACGTAATATAGCGTGAAAAATTCGAAAAATCTAAAATTAAGGCAAAAACTGTGGTGAGCTTTAAATTTTCCCATATGGTTTACTTGGGACTCCAGAGAGAGAGAGTGCGGAAGAGAAAGAGAGAGAGAGAGAGAGAGAGAGAGAGAGAGAAAAGGAAAAGGTTCGGGGGAATGCCGTAGCCCACGTATCCCGTAGTTAGGGGTAACACTTGGTTGCCAGTATCACAGTACGAACCTCGCTTATGCTTACGCATGTGCTAGTGTTAGTGCTAGTACTAGTGTCAGTGTTAGTGCTAGTGCTGGTGTTAGTGCTAGTGTTTGTGTTAGTACTAATGTCGAGGGGGGTATAATAAGAAAAAGAGTTCCTAAAAAAAAAAAAGAAATTGTCCGAAATCACGTGTTATGGCTTCAAATAAGCTTTGGTCTGAACAAAGCAAAGGTAAGGTGTTTAACGACAAACACTAATCTCTTAAATAAGCTTCTCTTCTACTCAATTACTATCTTAGATTACATTAGAGATTCTACCACTCGTCTAATATTTATCATATTATAGATTATTGCTCCTCGTCATCTTCTACATCGGTTTCCACTCCGAAATCATTTAATCCCTCTCCCATGTCGTTTTGCCATTGACTTCGCTTGATATGGAATTGATCTCCTACTGAAAGTTCCTTGTAGCAACCATCTGGCGGCCATGGTAATCCTAATTGATCATATTCCTTGTAGTCTTTTGAAAGTTCCATGTCATATCCGTTCCGCCTAGAGCCTTTCCATGGTATTAGCCAGAAAAGTGGCGATCCAAGAGCCGCTTTCAAGTTCCCATATACACCATAGTCATATGGGAAAATGATGTCATCAATTGTGAAATTTGTAGGTACAACAGTTGGCTCAGTCTCTTTGTTCAAGTTCTCCGAAGATGAGCTGCGTTTTGGTGATTCCTGTAGATGGATGTCGCTGTCTTTGCCTTCTTTTCTTTTATCCTTTGCTTCTGCGTCAAGTTCACTCTCACTCCACTCTGGTGGGTACTCCTTTTTTTCTTTCTCCTCCTCCACCTCATCCTCCTCATCCACCTCCACCTCCTCCTCATCCACATCCTCCTCCTCAAGGGTTGCATTCGTCCAAGTAGATAGTTTTGGCAACTTTTTTCCAAACACTTTCTCATAGTTGGATCTGATTTGCATCCATAGTCGTCTGCTGTGGAATTGACTTTCTAATCTTTCCCACTCCCAAACCTCAATTTGGGTCATTCCTTTTGCAAGATTCAATACACATCTTATGAATAGTAAACTGATTGTAAGCAAAACAAAAACGTCTAGGACGGTGAAAACAATAACTGAAGCTAGTTCGGCTCGTCTTATCAAGTAAATGGGCATTTCTGAAATCCGGTAATAATCTACTATGCGATAGGATAACTGAACAAGTAAGTATGATGTGCCAAAGATTACCCAAAACAAAAACCTCATAAATTGGGGTAAGTTGTTATGTCCTACGCAATTTAAGGTCCAAGGGCAATGATGGTCCATTTGTAGTACACATTTGTTACATTTTGAACAATGATGAGTTCTCGGCGGTTTGAAGTTTCCACATTTTTTGCAAAACCGCTTCCATTCGTCTGGCTTCGGAGTGTAGTTTGAAGGAGGGTGTCCGGGACTCGTGAAGATGGCCATCGCATAGGATATCCATATCATACAAACAAGACTCTGATAAAGAACCTGTTCAAGTAGAGAAAGGTGATATCGTAAAATAAAGTAATGTGACCCATACGATATGGAAAAGATCAAAATAAATGGTATAACGAATCCAAGAATTGGCCATCTGAATTCAATAGACATTGTCTCCAAAGTGTGGGCAAGCTGGTGTGCATTGACCAATCTCTATTCCAACTTTGCAAAGTTTGGATCACCTCAATGGTAGTATCATTTTGATCTGTCGTGCACTCTGTGTCAAGTTAAACTATTGATAATTTTTTTTTTTCTTTTTTGGCATTCCCTTACAAAGTTTAGAAGTGGCGAAAAATAGACTAAAGAGGAACAACAATCAAGACAACGCCAACTATAACCAGACCTCGAAAGAAGATTGACCATGGTATGTGTAGTAAAAAGATGACTTTGGAAAATAGAAACATAGTATGCTAACATTTTTTTTTTTTCTTTCAGACTTCAATTGGAACTGGATATGATTTATCAAATAGTGTTTTCTCCCCAGGTATGTTATTAAATTCAAGACTCTTCTTCCACACACACACACACACACACACGCCAACTACTAATTTCAAGTATACCATACTAACAATTGGTTTGTTCTCTTTTTTATTTGTTTTTGTTAGACGGAAGAAACTTTCAAGTAGAGTATGCTATGAAAGCAGTTGAAAATGGCGGTACTTCAATTGGAATCAAATGCAAAGATGGTGTAGTTTTAGCTGTGGAGAAAATAATAAATTCCAAGTTGTTGGTTCCAGGGAAAAATAAACGAATTCAGACTGTTGATCGTCATATGGGAGTAGTATACTCGGGTCTACTTCCAGATGGGCGTCATTTTGTAAATAGGTGTCGAGAAGAAGCCCAGTCGTTTAAGTCGATTTTCAAGATTCCAATACCGGTTCCTAACTTGATGGATAGAATGGGTATATACGTACAGAACTATACCTGCTATAACTCTGTAAGGCCCTTTGGAATTGTTTCGATAGTAGGGGGGGTAGATGATGATGGCCCTCATTTGTACATGATTGAACCTAGCGGCACATGCTGGGGATATAGTGGAGCAGCAACAGGGAAAGGACGTCAAATAGCCAAGTCTGAATTGGAAAAATTGAATTTCGAAGAGATTACTTGTCTTGAGGCTATAAAGGTTGCCGCAAAAGTGATACATTTGGCTCACGAAGATAATAAAGATAAGGACTATGAGTTGGAAATTTCATGGGTAAGTGCAGAGCACACGGGAGGAAAGCATCAATTTATTCCAGAGGATCTTTTGGCTGAAGCTAGAAAGTTAGCAGAGGATGACGAGGACGAGGACGAGGACGAAGAAGAGGAAGAGGGTGAGAACAACGATAACAATGACGAGGATATGGAGACCTGATAGATAATTTAGATGCGACTATACAAGCAATACCCCTCTATCTATTAGCAAAAGTTCTGATCCTCTAATATGCATTCGAGATTAATCCTCTAGCTCATTACTCAGCGCAAAGGTTGTCTTTACTAGTCTTTTGAACTCAAAACAGGAATGCATATACCTTTTGCTTTGCTGTCCCTCTTTCCTCTTTCCTTTCTCTTTCTTTCTAGGCGAGAGTAACAGTTAGATTTGTTGTAACATAATAAAATTAGCTTCTTTCTAATTACGACTTTTTCTAAAGGTTAGTATTTTTCGAACATGATTGTTTTTTTTTTGTTTCTTTTCTTTAAAATTTGGTACCAAATTGGGTCAAATTTGATTTCAAACTTACTTCCCAAAAACATAAGAAACATGAATAATTGACTGAGAAGTTTAATTTTTGATTGTCTAGAGTATATACACAAGCAACAAGAATACATTCACGAAATAAAGATAAAGTCATATTTTAATGATTTAATCACACAACATACATAGTCCTTTTAACTTAAATACAATCCTATACGTGATATTCAATTAGTCTTTGTGAAGATGGTTCAGAAGACAATACCTCTTCTTGATTCCACACAATTTTAATAACGTCATAAAACTCCCTTGCATAGTGCAACTTAATATCGTATCTTTTGGCAAAATATTCCTCAACGTGATGCATTTTAAAATCGGAATCTTCATTATCTTTTAGTAATTCATTCAAGAAACTCAAAGCGGTGGTTGAAGATGAGTTTGAGTTTGGGAAAGCTTCTCTATAGCTATTGCTATTACCATTGCTGCTGCTGCTGCTGCTGCTGCTGTTGGTGTCATCCTCTAAAATATTCTTTAAATATTCTTCAATAAGATCCTTTCGGTTCTCACGAGGAACAATCATCCTTTTGATGCCTGGACACAAATGAGCCCCCATCAACTTCTCTTTAACTCCTCCAATAGGTAAAACTAAACCACGTAAAGTAATCTCTCCTGTCATGGCAATATCGGTTGGCACCGGTTTATCCAAAAGAACAGACAAAAACAGCAATGCCATCGTGACTCCCGCAGAAGGTCCATCTTTTGGTATAGAGCCCATGGGTACATGCATGTGGATATCCAAGTTGTTAAATTTATCGAGTAGCAACCACTTGTTCTCTTCAGCTCCGTCAAATTTCAACAAATTCTTATAAATCATCAGCTTAATAAATGTCAATCCAATTTTACCACTTTCCATCAAAACCTCACCCAAGTGACCTGTCATATGCAATGTAGCACCTGATCCCCCAGAGGATCCCGATCCCACAGAGTCATTGATATTGATTTTTCTATCAAAACCAATGCTTTCAAACACCAAAACCGAACCCGAACCTTCGGAGTTGTAAGACAACCCATTCACGACACCCACTCTAGAGTCTCCAATACTTGCAATCTCGTTAGACGTAAAATCAGGACTAGCAAATGGAACACCAAGGTATATCGTCAAATCGTTCTCATCGACATTTGGGTTGTATACCTTATTAGCAGGGTCACTCAAATATTCACAATACTCCACCGCTTTGAAACGGCACAAAGTTCCCAATTTTCTCTCAAAATTTCGCACACCAGCTTCTCTTGTATAATCGAGAATGATTTTTTTCATTGCAGGCTCATCAATCTTGACAAAATCATCAAATTTTTTCTCACTCTCAATCGGGAAACCATTTCTTCTAATTTGTCTTGGTAAAAGATATCTTTGACCAATTATCAACTTTTCGTTATAGTCATAAGCTCCCATTTCAATCATTTCTAACCTATCCAACAATGGTCTAGTCATGTTGTATGGGTCATTTGCCGTGCAAATGAAAATAACCTGCGACAAGTCAATAGGGAAACCCAAGTAATGATCTACAAAGGTGTTATTCTGTTCTGGATCCAATACTTCCAACAAGGCGGCTGAAGGATCACCATTGAACCTGTTGACACCAGAATTTCCTCCAATAACTTTATCAATCTCATCTAGCAAAATCACAGGATTCATACTCCTTGCCTTACGCAAGGCTTGTACAATGAGACCTGGCATGGCACCAACATAAGTTCTTCTGTGACCTCTAATTTCACTTTCGTCTTTAATACCACCCAAAGACAATCTTTGAAAGTTCCTGCCAAGGGCTGTGGCTATAGATTTCGCAATAGAAGTCTTTCCTATTCCAGGAGGTCCCGCAAGAACAATTATGGGTGACTTGTTGTTCTTTGTTATTCTAATAGATTCGGCTGAGCTCTCATCCATTCTAGAATCTTGAATGGATTGACGCACCTGATGATGGGCATCTTGCTTAGAATGGTATGTCTCATCACTGTTTGCAATTACAATACTATTTGGCAAAGACTTTTCATTTACCTTTTGCAGTTGCAGTTGCAGTTGCAGTTGCAGTTGCAGTTGCAGTTGCAATTTCTGTTTCTGTTCCAGATGGTTTTCAGAATCACTCCTTCTCTTTTCAATGGAACGAGACGCATTGATTCCCATTAATTTCAACACCACCAAATACTGAATCAATCTCTTCTTAACATGTTCCAAACCATAGTGATCCTTGTCTAATTGTTCTTTCGCTGCTTTCAAATCAATTTCCTTGTTTGATTGAAATTTGGTTACATAGCAATCCCAAGGAATGTCCACAACTGTTTCCAAGTAATTACGAATTAAATTAAAGTCCGCGTTTCCACCTCCGCCAGGGGAGTTTGCTGATGATTTGATTCTTTTGAAATCCTTTAGAATCAAACGTTTCGAGTCGTTCGAAAGGGATGAAATCGTTGGCAACTTATCTCTGATAAATGTAGCAATTGCTTTCAATTCGTCTCCTTCATCATCATTATCATCAAATTCTTCATTCATAGTCCTATCACCACCATCTCTTGAGGAAGTAGCTGATGACGCATTTTCGTTCTGTTTTTGGCCTTTTGGAAGTTGAAGCAGTTGTTGCAGTTGTTGTTGCAGCAGTTGTTGTTGTTGTTGTTGCTTTGCTGACAGTGACCGTGACTGTGCCTGTTTCTGTGCGGCCCTATGTCTATTCGTCATACCTTCCAACAAGACGCGTATAGACTTCAACTGACTGGCAACAACATTGGCCTTTTGAATATTCGATGCTTCATTATGGAACCAATTATTAGCAAATGCATTGTTCTGCTTGAGGTTTTCAAAAATTTCAACTAATAACGACATCATTTCATTGATTGTAGCCGACCTATCTTCAATCTTATACTTGCTTAATAGCTGCAACTTTTCATAGTTGGGAAATGGTAAGATGGCACCAGTCAAATCAACCAATCTTAAATATATCTTGCTCTCTTTTGACGAGTCATCTGGCTTGGTTGCAGATGAAGCAAAAGTAGAAGGAAGCTGATAATATAGTCGGTGCAAGTTGAGAAACGCCTTGTTGTAATCTTTTGAACTAACTAATTGCAAGTATAACGCATTAGCCAAAGGGTTCAATGTCAACAAATCATGATTGGCTTTTGTTAACAAATCATTTTGCCTTCTCCCCTTTTCTTTTTCCCTTTCCCTTTCCCTTTCCCTCTCTTCCCTGCTTTTTGATTCTTCCTTATTTAGGGATAGATTACTACTAACGCCACCGTTTTTCATAGCAACGGCGTTGTTGGTCATTGCTCGACGATAATCTGTGAGAAACCTATCAATCGACTTGTACAACTTGGTGTAATTTGATTTCAAAGTTTTGAATTTGGTTTTCAAATCATATACGTCGTTGCTCCAGTCAATCTGGATTAGCTCTTCATTAGGCTTGGCTTTGTTCCTTTGGTCATTCAGTCTCAATCCTCTTGTGACTGCTTGCAAGGTTATTTTGATATTGGTAGTGTCATCAACTATACCACTAATTTTAACAACAGTCACCACATTATTGGCATAATCCTCGGGATACGTTGTTTTCGAATCTTTGATTTTATCTAAATTTGGCATAATCGCTAAAGTCAACCAGTCAAACTCGGTGACAGGACCACTCAAAGTGGCACCTCTTTTCCCTCCTTGAACACTAGCCCGGCCTTGAGCGATACTTTCCATGCTGTTGAAAAAATCACAAATACCTTCTTGAGCATCTTTTGAAATCACAGTTGGATTGTTATTATTATTATTGTTGGTTTCCATGTCCACAGAACCAAATTCGTACTCGCTTAATAAGTTGTTGATCACCGATACTTTTGTAACCAAATCCTTAAACCGATAAAGCAAGGCTGCAGCCTTGAATCTGGAGAATGTGACATTATACACAACACTTGGCAAAAGCACTAGATTGGAATCTAGCTTGTAAGTAGGCAATACAACTTTTTGAGTCATGGGCTTGTTTGAAGTCTTGTTTGAAGATCTTGAGTACAACCCCATCTTACTTGTTGCGTATCACCAGAAGGGTATCACTAGAAGTAGTATCACCAGAAGAGGTATCTCTGTTTAAGAAATCTGCGGGGGAGTGAATAGATAAGTTCCTTGCAAAAAAAAACCTGAACAATTTATATATAGAAAAATAATTTTTAGTGGAGAAGTTTAGCCGATAACAAATCTATAGTGGGCACGCACACACAATGTCATACGATTGTGGGATATACTAGAAGGAGCGCAGAGAGATTAAAATGAAGATGAAGATTAGAAACAGGTAATTATTAACAAAGATTATGTGTATAGTTTATTGAAGTAGGCACTAACCTAACTGTTTTTTTGCAGAGTAAGTGGGTTATGAATCACTTGTCCAACGAGGCGTTAACGCGAGGTAAAGAAATTGCGCTTGTGACTTTTTTCTAGCGACACTATTGAGCAGAGCGAGATAGTGTCGTAACAAGCTACTAGTTTCATAACAAGCTACTAGTTTCATAACAAGCTACTAGTTTCATAACAAGCTACTAGTGTCGTAACAAGCTACTAGTTTCATAACAAGCTACTAGGTTTTGCTCCACTATCTGGCTCTGCTCGATAGTGTCGTAACAAGGAGAGAAGAGAATTTTACAGAATTTTACTTTAAAAATATGCAAAAAATCGATTTATAATTACTGTAAAACAAACCTTGTTCAAGACATCTTTATGAAAACCTTAATTTTTCTGTAACAATCGACTATATTAATCTCCTCGATAGTGTCGTAAGAAGCTACCAGGTGTTGCTCCACTATCTCATTCTGCTCGATAGTGTCGCTCGATAGTGTCGCTCGATAGTTTCGCTCGATAGTGTCGCTGGACAGTCAAATTATTTCTCTTCAAAATAAACCACAAATGGTATTGGGCTTGATCAAAGATTACGAGATAGACATAGACACAGAATGATAAAGATAAAGAGTTATAGATTAGATTAGGGCTAAATAGGAATCATCTGGACATGACTATAACCCTCCCTTCCTCCCCCCTTTCTCCCTTCTTTTTAATCCTCACCCCTCCCTACCATAACCTCCCTTCTTTTCAATCCTCCCTCCCTTCCTCCCTTCTTTTTAATCCTCCCCCCCTTCCTCCCCTTTTTTTTCTTCCTTCTTTTAATCACAATTTATACAGTTTGCCCCGAGTCTCTGCTAGCATCTCTAATTTTTATATACAAGTGCAATATACAGTTTACCACAAGTCTCTGCTAGCACCTCTAATCTTAGTGAAATACAGCTAACCACAAGTCTCTGCTAGCATCTCTAATTTTTATATACAAGTTATTTTTATCGTGGTGTCGTAACAAGCTACTAGGTGTTGCTCCACTATCTCGCTCTGCTCGATAGTGTCGCTCGATAGTGTCCCTGTCGCTCTGTTCATTCTATTTTATCAAAGTCGTACTTACCCTCAATCAAGTCATTTAACCCATCTTGGAGGGACCTTACATCTTCATCAATACTCATTTCACTCAATTCGCGCTCCTTGACATCACCACCCATCAACTCCTTCATTCTATACCCAAACTCTTTCAAACTGCTCACATCCAAAATCCATGCTAACCCAAAGATCATCATCCCTGAGATGGTTCCACAAGCTAAAGTACCCGCACCAACAGCTACAGCAGCATCCGTAGTGAAATTATAAGACGTTGGCGGTTGGTGGTTTTGCTGGAAAAGCGTTGGCACGTACTGCCTTATTATGGTTTGTTTATGAATAAATCTTGTGGTGAATATTGCGAGCGCAGAAAATGTGAAAAACCGCGCCATTTGTATCTTACGACGTTGAATGTACTCCGACGAGGCATCTGATAGAGCAAAGTTTAGTTTGTGTAGTATGTCATTGTTACCTATACCGTTACTGCTGCTGCTGCTGCTGCTGCTGTCGTGGCTGTTTGATATAGACGACATCTTCACTCCAAATTGCTTCCCAGTGAAGTAAAGTAAAGTAAAGGAAACTAAAGTAAAGGAAACCCTGGTGATAATTTTCTTCTTCTTTTTTTCTTCTCTCTCTAAAAAGGCCCCCGGCCCCCCCTTAGACAACAGCCGCTTCATGCAAGCAACAAGCAACAACTCTCTGGAACCCTTCAAAGAACAATTTTTCACAACTACTTAAACAGTGTATAAAACATTATGAATCCTGTCTCTACCCTTTCCCTTCCCTTTCCCTTTCCCTTCCCCTTCCCTTACACTTACTTCGAGAAAAGGCCCAGTCACGTGATAAAGCCATTTCCTTTTTTTTTTTTTTTTTTGATCTGAAACCAAAAAATGTAAACATGCGCGATCTGCATCTGGAAAAGTGACGAAGACCTGAAACAAATAAAAAGGGTAACGAGAGAGCCATATAGTGAACAGAGAACTATTCCGGTTGTGAAAGCGGATGACTCACGATTCGGAACGAAATATGAGCTTTTCAGGAGAGTTGGTCGGTACTGCTACCACTGCTACCACTGCTACCACTGCTGCTGTTGATCCAGGTCCCTCTGCTGTTTCTGCACCCGCAGTTTTTGAATACAAACCATCTGAACATCTAGGTACGGCAATGTCAAGTCCTCAAGGAATAATGTTACATCCAACCCGAAGCATCACCACAACGACGACGACGACTGCCACCACCACCGCCGCGGCTGCCACCACCACCACCGCTGCGGCAGCTTCATCTTCCTCCCTATCGTCGTCCTCGTCGTCCTCGTCGTCCTCGTCGTCGTCCTCATCATCATCTTTACCAGCAAGTCCCTTCATTTCAAACACCAGCTCACCACTTCAACGGAGAAATGGTATACTAGAGCCGGCAGATGTTTCTAGTCCACAGCTAGATAAAAGCATATTTGACCTACAAAACTCCTTGCGTAGTCTTAAAGTGCATAATGGGAGCAGTACTGAAAGTAATCAAGGAACCATAGGAACCATAGGAACCATAGGAACCGTTTGGGTCAATGATGATGACTCTATGGAGAGTTTGCACCGCACACCGGTAAGGAATAAACAGCATAACGTATCACCATGGAGACAGTTTCGCCCTGTAGTACAAGCGCCCGTAGCTGTGAATTCCCTCCTCCATAATAAACCTAATTTGAAGTACAAGTCTATCAATGAGGATGTAGCCAACAAGCCGACAATTGGAACGACTTCTCGTGAGGATCAACTCATCAAAGAACTAATAAACAATAAAATACAAATCAAACTAATGAGAAATTATATACAAGAGCTTATCGATAAAAACAATTCAAATAATGATGATTATCACCGGATTATGGTTGCAATGGAGATGGCAACAGATGCAAAAAGAAAACTACAGGCGATTCAAGCTGAATATGATGAAGTATTCAATCTTAATCAAGATCTATATTCGAATTTAAAAACATTTGAAACGCGGTTGCATGAACAAGAAGTGCAAATCAAGGAGAAAGACTCGAGATTGCAAACTATAAAAAATGGTATATGCCAAGTTTTGAAACTAGTCTTGGGGAAAAATAGTAGTAGTAGTAGTTGTAATAATAATGATGATGATAAAAAGAAGAAAAGGAAGGACACAAAGGAACATAATAGACAAGACATTGAAAGCAGTATATCTTTGCCTATGGAACTGCAGCTTGAGATGTTACTAGAAGAATTGAGAAAATGGCCACGTGATTCAAATGCAGGCCCATTAACACCACCACCATCCGATAATGGGACAATTACTAGCAAAGAGAGTAAAAGAGTTAAAGAGCTCGAGAGTGAAAGAGTTGATTACATCAGAGCAAACCAAAAACTCCAGGAGGTGCTAAATGCAAAATCGCAGGATCTTTCTGAATTAGAAAAGAAATTGCAGATAATGGAAGAAAAATCATTTCAAATACAGGAGCTTTTAAACAAGGAAAAGGATGAGCATGCAAAAAGGCTACAAAAGTACGAAGCTATAGTAAGCGAATTGAATCAAGAGGTCAATAAACTAAGTGAAGATGGAATAAAAGTCTCTAAAAATCCCCAAAAACGTCTAAGTATTCAGGAACTGAATCTTGTCACTGAATACCTAGAATTGCAGAATGCATATAGCTCAATATTGGAAGAATTGAGTCAAACACGGGAAGCGCATTTAGCCATTCAAGAGGAAAATGAACAAAAACTAAAAGATGCAACGACAAAGTTGCATGAAAAATCCGTCGAGGCACGGGCACAAATGAAATCAATTGAGAGACTCAAAACCGACCTTGAAGCAGCTTTGGACAAGCAAAGGCAATTCAATACCGACAGAATTCAGACTTCGTATGCCAACGAGTCTTTGAAAAAGGAGAATCAAGTATTGCGTGAAAAAGTACAAAGGTTAACCGAATTCATGTCTTTCACGACAATAGGTGACAGCGACAACTCTCAAGATGCATTAAAGAAGCTTTCAATAATCGAATACCAGTACAAAGATCTATTATCATTTGACCTAGCCGAGTTCCACAAGTTGATCCAATCTTACAATAAAATTGCCGACGACAGATCCTTGATGGACCCTACTCAAAAATACGAAAAGTTGGTCAAGAGACTTGATGATTTTGATCAAAATGACATTGCGTATATAAGAGATAAGCACAAATCAGTTTTTGAGTATTTCATTAGGGCAACTGATATGTTGATAAATGATCACGTGAGATTATTGCTCAAGGAAACCGATTCAGGAGATGATATGCAATTGAGAAAGAAAGTTGAGCAACTAAGCGACGAGAATACAGAGTTGAAAGAAGAATTATACTCAGCAAAAACCGCTCACGCTGAGGAGAATGATCCATCATCAATCTGGGCCTTGAGGTTGAATGATCTTCGACAAAAATGGAAAGCCGAAAGAGAACGTCGTATACTTGAGGATCGAGAGGCCCAAAAGAGGTTTAAAGAAATGGAGAATGAAATTTCGAGGTTAAAGCTTCGTGCGGGCGCGTAGTTTACATAAGAGAAAAATTATAATTGGAAATTCTTTCATTTATGACCAAAAAATGAAACATATATATACATATATATATATATATATACATATAAACTAATAAAGAGGGTTACTGCTCTTTGTTGATAATAAAAGTAAAAGTCATTGAGTACTGCTTTCTTTAACGAGTATCACGTGACACATATCAGTTAAAAAAAAATTTCCAAAAAAAAAAAAAAAAAAAAAAAAAATTTTTAAAAAAAAAAAAAAGAAAAAAAAATTTTTCAGTGAGAAAAGCTGCGATTTGAAAAATATTTACATAGACATATAAACTCTCAGATATAGAATAAAGCTAACATCTACCTCAAGATGTCAGAAATAAGCGAGGAAGAGTACCTCCAGTTGGAAAAGGAGATCAACTTGGATGACATTGATTTCTCAGATTTAGAGGAAAAATACGAGGCTGATACTGGACTGGACAACATTGTTGTTGTAGATGGAGCACCGATTGCACCAGAAGCAAAAGTTCCGATTTTGATTAAAGTTTTGAGAAAACTTTTCAGCACTGTTGGTGAGATTGTTGAAGGAGATGAAGGTGTATTTATGCCTATGGAGAATGGGAAGTCAAAAGGGTTTCTTTTCATCCAATACAAAACAGTAGATGAAGCAGATGTCGCAATTAAGAAATTGAATGGTAAGAAATTGGATCTGCAGCACAGATTATTGGTTAACAAATTATCAGACATTGAAAAGTATGCGTCTATTAAATCCGAGTTTCAAGAACCAAAAATAGAGCCATTCAAATCTCATGGATACTTACAAAGTTGGTTGCAAGATGAACAAGGCAAAGATCAGATTGTCTTGCATTTCAACGAAAATGTTGGAGTCTACTGGAACAAAAAGGCCAGCGAGCCTGAACCAGTTATTGAGCCAAGAAAAGGTTTTACTTCCAAGTATGCCAAATTTTCTCCAAAAGGTACCTACCTTTTTTCCATTCACCCACAAGGTGTTCAGTCATGGGGTGGATCCGATTTCCATAGTGTTAGAAGGTTTTTCCATAATCAGGTTAGACTTGTTGATTTTTCTCCAAATGAAAAGTACATGGTAACATTGTCGCCTGCTCCTATTTCTTTACCAGATTCAGTGGCCGAGAGACAGCAGTTCCCATTTGGACCTGAGAGTGAGGGTCATAAGTTAGTAATTTGGGATTTGGCTACTGGAGAGCCGGTTAGAACCTTTGCTTTACCACCACATCTCGAAAACCAAAAGGAGATGCCTTGGCCGTTAGTGAAGTGGTCTTTTGATGACAAGTACTGTGCTCGTCAAGGGCCAGATGCATTGGCCATCTATGAAACACCTAGCTTCCAATTATTAGACAAGAAACTCGTGAAAATTGACGGTATTCAAGATTTTGAATGGGCACCAGCTGGAGTCAAGTTACACAATAGCAAAAGCAAAACCGGCGAACATATTTTGTCATACTGGACTCCCGAAAGTACAAATCATACGGCAAGAGTTGCTATTATGCACATACCGAGTAGACAAGTTTTACGTACTGTGAATTTGTTTCAAGTTAGTGATTGCAAAATGCATTGGCAAAGTGAAGGTAAATTGTTGTGTGTCAAGGTTGATAGACACACAAAATCGGGTAAAACCATTTTCTCCAATCTTGATTTTTTCAAATTGAGTGAGAAGGATATTCCAGTTGAAAAGTTAGAGTTTAAAGATGTTATCATTAACTTTTCTTGGGAGCCAAAGAGTGAAAGATTTGTTACTATCAGTAGGTTGGATGACGGGAACCCTAACCCAGCCATTCCAAAGAATACTATTTCCTTTTTTGCACAAGAAGACACCAAGGGCAAGAATGCTAATCCCAAGTACAAATCTTACAAAACAATCGAGAACAAACATTCAAATACAGTTATTTGGTCACCAAAGGGAAGATACGTTGTTGTAGCATCTATCACCAGACCCAGTGGTGAAATTGACTTTTACGATGTTTCGTTTGATGATGAAACCAGCAAGAAAGGTTTACCTGCAAATGTCAAACTTTTGAAGAGCAGCAATTATGCAGGAATGACGAATCTTGCTTGGGACCCTTCTGGAAGATTTTTAAGTGCCTGGTCTTCAGCTTGGTTACATGCAATTGACAATGGTTACAGAATATACGAGTTTACAGGAAACTTGTTGAGAGACGACTCAGTTGATCAATTTAAGGATTTCATTTGGAGACCCAGACCTGAAAGTTTATTGACAAATAGTGACAGAAAGAAAGTACGTGCTAATTTGCGTGAGTACTCTGCTCAATTTGAAGAACTCGATGCGATGGAAGCTGATGCTGCATTGAAGGAAGCAATTTTGGCGAGAAGAAAAGCATTGGAGGACTGGAGAGCATACAGAGCTAAACATGTTAGCAAGAAAGTGCAAACCAGCGAAGTTCAAGCAGAAATCATTGAAGAAATCAAAGAAGAGATTCTCGAGGAGAAAGAAGAGATTGTTGAGTAAGTTGAGTAATTTGAATAAGTTGAGTAGTTTTGTTTTTTGTTGATTAAATAAGACAAGAACAAATAGACACTTTTACTCTGAAAGCAATTTTAATATACAAAATAAATCACCATTTCTTTCACCACCTTACGCGGATTATGTATTTAGCTGTCATTTCTTCCACCACCTTACGCGGATTTTGTATTTAGCTGTCATTTCTTCCACCACCTTACGCGGATTTTGTCTTTAGCTGTAAGCCATGCCATTTCTTTATCTCATCTTTTAATTTTTCATTAACCAACCTGTGCTGCTTGATCATTGGTAGGCCTTTAAATTTCGGACTCTCAACCATTATTGCAAACATTGACCCACAACCACCCAGCACATCACGTACTTGTAGGCTAACAGGATCAAACTCTTGATTTAATATGTCATATATCTTGGTCTCATACTCTCCCATTTGGTGAGAGTTGTTCCCTCCCAGCAGACTCTTTCTAATAAAGATACTTGAAAACGGTAGCCTACTTTTCATGGATCCTATACCGACTCTGACAAGCATTCTTTACTGTTCTTTCTTGTGGGAGTGAAGGTGATAAAAATCTCTCTGCTCTGGTTCTAGAATTGATTTTGAAAAATTGTGCGTAATAGAAAATTTTCCATACTATAATTTTTTGTAAGTTAACTTTTGAATGGGGACACTATCGACACTATTGAGCGGAGCGAGATAGTTGCAACACTAGGGAGCGAAGCGAGATAGTGGTGCATTAGAGAAGAGAGTAGCGATACTACTCTGACACTACCGAGCGAAGCGAGATAGTGGAGCAGCACTGACTAGTGACACCATCTCGCTCCGCTCGATAGTGGAGCAGCACTGACTATTGACATTATCTCGCTCCGCTCGATAGTGGAGCAGCACTGACTAGTGACACCATCTCGCTCCGCTCGATAGTGGAGCAGCACTGACTATTGACATTATCTCGCTCCGCTCGATAGTGGAGCAGCACTGACTAGTGACACCATCTCGCTCCGCTCGATAGTGGAGCAGCACTGACTATTGACATTATCTCGCTCCGCTCGATAGTGGAGCAGCACTGACTAGTGACACCATCTCGCTCCGCTCGATAGTGGAGCAGCACTGACTATTGACATTATCTCGCTCCGCTCGATAGTGGAGCAGCACTGACTAGTGACACCATCTCGCTCCGCTCGATAGTGGAGCAGCACTGACTATTGACATTATCTCGCTTCGCTCGATAGTGTCGATTGGAAATGGAAAAACGTGTATTTTTTCCTTTGTTTTTCCCTTTTTTTTAAGTTGACCGTTGTGATGTATATTTTTGATAAAAAGTTCCCAAGATAGTAATAGTGCCAATTTGGGAACAAAATTGCTTAAAAATTTTAGATTGTTTATCATTGACAATTTTATCAGTTTTTTACTCTTTTTTGGTATTCTTTTTCCAGACACTATCGACACTATCGAGCGAAGCGAGATAGGGGAGCAGCACTGTTAAGCAACACTGACTGGCGGCCACCGACACTATCGAGCAACACTGACTGGCGATACTAGCGACACTATCGAGCAGAGCAAACAGAGCGAGATAGTGTTGTAACAAGCTACTGAGCGTTGCTCCACTATCGAGCAGAGCAAACAGAGCGAGATAGTGTTGTAACAAGCTACTCAGCGTTGCTCCACTACTCTAACATTGTGCTTTAGATGTCGGTGGCAGCTAGTGTGCTCTGCTCGATAGTGTAAATAGATAAAAGTGTAAATTGATAAAGAGTGTGGATAGAGTAAAGAGTGTAGCTAACTAGCGTGCTCCACTATCTCGCTCTGCTCAATAGTGAAGACCTCTCTCTGCTCAATAGTGAAGACCTCTCTCCATAATCATGTAAAAAAGATATATGGAATGGATGAGATGGATGAGATTGGTGATGTAGTGTGGATATATTAAAGAGGTAGATAAATTAAAGAGTGTAGCTAATCAGTGTTGCCCCACTATCTCGCTTCGCTCGATAGTGTCAGTGTCTGTCAGTGTCTGCTCAACAGTGTCGTAGCGGAGTTATTTTTAAAAACTTCCAAATAAAGATCTCTATCAAAACGGCTTTTTATCATCAAAATAGTGCAATTCTCAATCAAAGAGTGTTTGTAGATAGATGAAAGAGTCTAGAGTAGATAGATAAAAGAGTGTAGGTTGATTATTAAAGAGTGTCACTATTGAGTGTTGCTCCACTATCTCGCTTCGCTCGATAGGATCTTGATCTTTAACCTTATTCCCCTTTCTTTTCTTTGTTTCTTTTTGCAATCCCACCAGCCATGTTGAAAAATGGAAAAAAAAATATATAGTGGAATTATTTCAACCAACGATTTATAAGTTTTATGGTTGGATTTTCCAATATACAATTCAACAAGGATCGTTTGGTAAAGCTCAACTAAGTATTTGAGTATAATTTGAAATAGGCAAGTGCTAGAAAGATGAGGTATGTCTGATTTTTTTTATTGTTGTTATTGTTATCGTTGTTGTTGTTGATGTTGTTGATGTTCATTTGGCTAACAAAAAGGAAAAATATTGTTGAACAGCGGTAAATTTGTCAGGGCTTCGAAATATCGTCATGTTTTTGGACAACCTTCAAAGAAGGAGTTGTACTATGAAAACTTGAAAGTTACCAAGAATGCATGGGACTCCAACATTATTCATTCAAACGGAAAGTTTATATCGGTAAATTGGGATTCATCCGGCGGTGGTGCCTTTGCAATTATTCCTGTTAATGAGGTAGGTAAAGCACCAGATACCGTTTCTTTGTTTCGAGGACACAAGGGACCGGTACTAGACACAGCATTCAACCCGTTTAATCAACAGGAAGTTGCAAGTTGCTCTGATGACGGAAACATTCTGATTTGGAAAATCCCCGAGGACTATTCATTTCACAAGTATATTGATGAGAATGAACAAGTTAAGGATATTACTGTGCCTGTTCAGGTGTTGCTTGGTCATACTAAAAAAGTTGGTTTGATTGAGTACCACCCATGTGCAGAAGATGTTTTAGCTTCGAGTTCCTTGGATTATACTGTAAAAATCTGGAATTTGAAAACGGGCAAAGATGAAATCACCTTGCAGCACAAAGATTTGGTGACTTCGTTTGCATTCAATTATAATGGATCCTTATTGGCCACAACTTCCAGAGACAAGAAACTTAGAATCTGGGATATTAGAAAAGGTGTGATTATATCCGAAGGAGCGGGACACACTGGAGCCAAACCATCAAGGGTTACCTGGCTTGGAAATACTGATAGAGTTGTTACAACTGGGTTCTCAAGATTATCGGACCGTCAGATTGGAATTTGGGATATCCACAATATAGAAAAAGGACCTATCGATGGTTTTTTGGTCATTGACTCGTCTTCGGGAGTTTTAATCCCATTTTTTGATAATGAAACATCAATGTTGTATCTTGCTGGTAGAGGTGATGGAAACATCCGTTATTATGAGTATGAAAATGACATATTATATGAGTTATCACAATATGCATCAACAGACCCACAGAGAGGTTTTGCAGTGGCCCCCAAACACTCTGTGAATGTGAAGGAAAACGAAGTGGTGAAAGCTTTCAAGACCGTCCTGGATAACTCCATTGAGCCAATTAGTTTCATTGTACCAAGACGTTCAGAATTGTTTCAACTGGATATTTATCCCGACTGTCCTTCTACTACACCAGCTCTTAGCGCCGAGGAATGGTTTGGCGGAAAGGTAGTCAATGGTCCGATTTTGATGACAATGGAAGCCGTATTTGAAGGTAAAGAGCCAACGTTGAAAGAAAGTAAAGTTTCTTCAACAGTTCCTGCCAAGAAACAAAGTAGTGAAACTGAAAAGGAAAAAGAAACGTCTCCAGCTAAGAAGGCGGAGGAGAAGGAGAAGGAGAAAAAGAAGGAAACAAAAACAGGCTTGGCAAAAGAGCTGAAAGATGATGTCGTTAAAACTAATTCAACAATCAAACAAAACGTTGACGATTTGTTGAAGAATTCCAATGAAGTGGGAAATTTGTTGAATCGTGTTGTAGACCTCTCGGACGATGAAAACCCCGATCAAACTCCATATGATAATGAAGAAGATTGGGAAGAGGTTGAAAAAGCTGATTTGAAACTGGGATCACCACTGAAACATAAAGAAAGTAAAGAGGATGATGATGATGATCTTAATCTTGAATTGGAGAAGAAAGATGAGAGTGCATCCCCCAAAGATAAAGAAAAGGAACAAAAGAAAAAGACTTCCGAGGAGACCGAAGCAACGGACATAACTGAGAGTAAGGAAAAGGGTGAATCTATTGCTAATAAAGAAAGTACAGACAAGAGTACAAGTACAGTTGAAGCTGAAAACTTGAAAAGCTCAACACAAGGAGAAGCAGAGACATCGACCAAGATTGATAGTCCAGTGAGCAATCCTGACACCCTTACTAAGGAGAACGAGCCATCGACCAAGATTGATAGTCCAGTGAGCAATCCTGACACCCTTACTAAGGAGAACGAGCCATCGAAATCACAGTCGGCCGCTATTATAAACGATGGTCAAAACGGTGTCAAACCAAAACCAACTTTGGTGTCGACTGTGGAAAAATTGGCAACACTTGTAACTCAACTTGAGACTCAAATTTCCATTTTACAAAACTCTGCATTAGAGAAGAATGAAAGATTAAAAGCATTAGAGAGGAAAATTGATAGTCTACTTAAATAGTAACTCAAGTTTGTATTTTTTGTATTTTTTTATTATTTTTTACTTTCTTTTTTTTTTTCATATTTTGTCCCACTCGTTAGGTTTTATAGGTACCAACAACATCAACAATTGTTTCTTAATCTTTCTTGATATCGTAAAATGTCTTGAATATGAATGCAATGATATTCTGAGAGTCAAAAACGAGCTTTCCTTTGCATAATATGAGTTTTGGCTTATTCTCATACTGAAGTCTTAACAAGTCGTCTAGAGTGATTGTACTGCTTGTGCCGGTTACTACGACCAGTCCTCTAGCAGCTTCAATTGTAAATTTGCCGACTTGATGACAGCTGAACATAAAGTCTAACTTAGAACCACGAGCGGCGTCTAAATCATTGGACAATAAGATTCTCTGATCCATCAATTTCTTAGAAGAGACAATGTATGAACCAAACTCTGGTAAACGGTTGCGTCTTCTCAATTCTCTGTGGTAAAAGTATTGTTTACTGAACACTGGCACAATATTGAATAATTTTCTGCTTTTGGGCTTAACTTGCAAATTTGCAAGCACATTTTCAACGTGATACTTGTAATCTTTCAATTCTTGACGGAGAAAAGCCTCTTTATTGTTCATTTTTTTCACTGTATCCTCAAGGATACTTAACTGCTCGGCTCTTTTGAGTCTTTGTATACCCTTTTTCCGTATATCGACTGAAATTTGATTTAATAGCTCTTGAAACGAGTTTTTCCTAGTTACTTCACCCATCGTTTCTAATTTCAAAATATTTTCTAGACATTTCCTCTTCAACTCATGAAAGGTTATTTCTTCTAAATTACCAAGTGCAGCTTTGTGGTAAGCACGACTCCTATCGGAGGTTATGTCCTTCTCTGAAATGATAAGCTCCTTGTATTTTGTTTCATCTTCTGGTTTGATTCCAGAAATTAAAAGCTCTAGTAAATCTTCACCATCTTGAATTCGAATAATATATAATAGACACCTTTTAGCTTCAGTGAATAAAGTTTTCACTTTTGTATCCATCACCGACTCTTCAACATTGTGAGGGTTCAAGTTGATGGATAACATACCCAAATCAGTCAATGCCACAAAATCATCGGATGAAGTTACCAAGTTTCCCAAATCAGAGGCTACAGCTGCAAGTTGATCGTCACTACCTGGAGCCATGATATCAATCTTTGAATCCACCAATTTTTCCAAAAAGATCATCGAGTTTGTCTTCATCGTTAGCTTGGGCTTTTCTGTGCTAATAATATCGTCGTATTCATTCAAATCGTAAACACGTTCAAGACTTTCCACTGTGATCACTTGATTTACTATGGCCGTAATGGAGCTCGTCATTGCAAATATATAATCATTCAATGGCTTTAAAAAGCTATCACTAAACGGATTCATACTAAACAATTGAAGTAAAACCCGATGCAAGTGACGTATGTTATTTTTGCCCTTTGAGTTTTTCTTAATAACAATTCCATAGTTTTCAGGAATGTTTATAATTGCACCAATATAATGTTTAAAGAAGGTCACTCCAGCAACAGCCAAGTGCTGTTGTTCAGATTTCCCCACAAACTTATTTTTGGACAAGATGTACGCTTCTTTGCATATAATCTTTATATGTTGAGGAACTCTAGCTGTATTCTTCTCCACAGCAGCAACAAGTTCATTGCAAAATTCCCGTAAAGACATCAAGTTTTTGACAAATGTTGTTGAAACCTCTGGTACTGTAATAGCCTCTTGAGGGGTCAAGTTCTTCTTCCTAGTAGAGAACCCGTCAACTTTGATATCTCTATCAATAAGTGCTGCATAAATGATTGCTGGATCACTCTCGAAATCCAATTCTTCGTCATTCAAAAGTCGGATAACCACTCCACCTAAGAGCATTTTTAAATGTTGTCTCTGATATGTATGATTATTGAAATGAGACAAGTAGTCTGTCCAAAACGTATATTGCGATTTGGTAATGTCACTTGGATTTCTAGCATGGTCAACGTCGTTCTTCATTAGTGTCAATATCAACTTCATGAAAAAATATTCCTCTCTTGAATGCTGATTGATTGAAGAGTTACTTGTGGGAAACAACTGGACAATGCAATTAAACAAGTCTTTATAATGCTGTGTATTTTTCGTAGAAAGCTCAAGTGTCTCAAAAAGTCTTTTCCAATAGTCTGCTTTGATTTGCAAAAGATAAAGTAGTTTCAGATAAAGTTCAACTCTAGCCCTTGAAGACTTGTTCAACTTTTTCAAATTCTTGACGTTTTCAAGAGCTATCGGATTCTTCTTCACTATGCCACGCAGTTTGGAAAATTCATCAATTGTGATTTTGTTTTTATCAAGAAGACTAAGCTTCAAATCAATGGATTCAATCTGACTTTCCAACTCTTCATAGAGTTTACATTTTTCAATAACAATATCCCTAGTTTGGTTCAACTTCATCTCTTCTTGGAAATCTCTTTCGCTATCAGCCAACAAGTATGCAAATTTTCTAACCACCGATAGCGAAGGACGATTACTTGAAATAAATCCCTTATATGCCGTTTGCACAATTACTCTTCTTATGATAGCCTGTGCTTTGATCACTTCTTTGACATGCTTGCGGTAATATTCCTTACAATTAAGAAACTCTTGCTTAACTTTATTCATCCTTATCTTAGATTGAAGTTTGATCAACGCCTCTACGTGCAGATAGGCATCATCCAACAATATTTCCCTTCTAAATCTACTTAGAACTCCTCTGAACAATGTTTGCACCGGAAGAACAGAACTATATTCACAATGTCTCAATTGTCTCTTTAGTAAACCGACTCTCCTCCTTAGGCTTTTCCCCCTGAAAACTGCATAAAAGTCGCTCAAGATGCTATCCTCATGCAACAAAGTGACTAAAACATTGTTGCATAATCTAGATCTTGAAATACCTCCTCTAGCAATATTTTGAAGCTCATTGATTTTCCATTTATAGGAACGAATAATTGCGTGTTTTGAATTGATTTCACTAATCACAAAGTTACGCCTTACTATGGATTGCAATTCAACTATGCCACTAACGTCGTCAAATTGAACAGTTGAGTGCTTCGTGTATAATTTTCTGCGAGCTATTGCTTGTAGTTGTATAATTGGAGGTACTATCTCCGTCATATGTGAGATAATGCCATGTGTTTTATTGTCAACAATTTTCTTCCTAGCGATAGATTGGAGTGTTACTATATTCGACAGAGCTAGTTCCTTCTTCATCTGCGAAATTTTGTTCACTTGCAAACGCCTTCTTATTATGCTTTGAAAATAACAGAGTCCGTCAAATTCCACATTTTGTTTCTTTTTGGAGAATAGATTCTTTCTTACTAATGATTGTAGTGCAATGATCTCCAGTTCGTGACATTTGAGTTTCGCTTTGTTCTTATGCACAGATCGTAGTCTCAGCAAGTTTCCTCGAATTATAGAATTTAAAATAGTCAATTCTTCATAGTAAGATTTCAATAGAATTTTCTTAACAAACATTGAGTAGCGGAAATTGGCGCCTCTAGCAAGCGACTGCAATTTGACTATATGGTGACAATTCTTTATGATTTCCAGTTGATTGATAAATGGAGTTTGACGATCATCTTTGTCCTCGAGTCTTTTTAGTGCAACATTCGAGATGGAAACCCTTTTCTCATTTTCCTTTTGATATGGTAACTGCAGCAGAAACAGCAACAGCAGCAGCAGCAGCGGCAATTGCTGCTGCTGCTGCTGTTGTCGTTGTTGTTGCTGTTGTTGTTGTTGTTTCTGAGCAGGATTCTCCATGGGTATTTTCTTATTTGGACTAATTTTAATTGGAGATGCCACTTTTTCCATGTACTTATCTTCACCATCGTTCCCAGTATCGACGCTTGAGAAATTTGGAAGAGGAGCACTAGTCAATGCTCTATTAGCTATTTGAATGTCGTTTTTGTCAAATGAAATTTTATTCACCAAATCGCCCATTTTCGGATATCTCGAATCACTCTTGTGTAAGATATAGCTCAAGACGTGTAGACAAAACCATACTTTTGGAACATTTTTTGCATCGTACAAGTCTGTTAATTCGAATCGAAACAAGTCCGGCATGTTCAAGAAATCCAACAAATGGAAAAACCGATTTATGTTCTCAGTGTGTTTAAACTGTAATCTGTCATCATTCATAAACACACTTCTTTGAGTTGGCAAAATGGCATTGGCCAACTTTGCAAGATGGATGCCGTTTCTGATGTATGAAATTAGGGTTGCTGCCGACTGACAAATTTCCTCATTCAACACTGCTTGCATCCAAACTTTGATAGCTTCGATTCTACATAGATACTCGTACCCCGGAGAGTAAATACATTTTTGATCTTTAATGGGAGAAATTGAAGAAATGTTCTTTGTTTGGCTCAGTTTTGTTGGAGATCTGCTGGGTGACTTGTTCAAAAAATCTCGGTAGTTGGTTTTAGCCCAACTTGGAGTCTCTTCCTCCTCCTCTCCTCCTCCTCCTTGGGAAGAACCGGCTTGTGCTGTTGTTGCGGCGACACCTTCAACCAAAGATCTAGAGCTCAGCTTGAAAGACGAGATTGTAGCCGATGGTGAACCAAATGCAGTTTGTAATGGTTGTATTCGATTATTTGTCGTGGTTTTATAACTATTTGAAGGAGAAACATTCAACTCCCTCGCTAATAAGTCCAAATCCTCGTCTTTCTTCCATCTTCTATTCTCTTTCAACTTTGTTGGCGAGTGCAAATCCTCGTCTTTCTGCCATCTTCTGTTCTCTTTCAACTTTGTTGGCGAGTACAAATCCTCATCTTTCTGCCATGTTCTATTCTCTTTCAACTTTGTTGGCGAGTACAAATCCTCGTCTTTCTGCCATGTTCTATTCTCTTTCAACTTTGTTGGCGAGTCATTGATATTGAACCGTTTAGTCGGTTGTAGAATATGTTGTTGAAACCCTTGTGATGGTTGCTGTGATGGAGCTGAATAAAACACCATTGTATTCCTTTTTTTTTTCTAAAACGGAAAAGTCAAAGTGTAAAATTCCAATAAACAACCTTCAACCTCCCTTTACCCTTCCTGAATAACGCCCTACCGACTCAATTTACCAACTTGTCTTATTGTTCCAAGGGGTTGATTTGTACTTGTCTTTTCCAATTCCCTTTACATTTTTTATTAAAAACAAACAAAAATTCAATTAATCTCGATTCGGCCATTTTGTAAACAAAAACAAATTTGGGCCCAGCCGTGACGATAGCGACACTACCGACACTTGGCGACACTAGCGAGCGAAGTGAGCTAGTGGAGCAGTAGAAGTTACGACACTAGAGAGCGAAGCGAGCTAGTGGGGTAGTAGAAGTAATCACACTAGCTCGCTTCGCTCGCTAGTGGAGCAGTAGAGAGAAGCAGTAGAAGTAATGACACTAGCTCGCTTCGCTCGCTAGTGGAGCAGTAGAAGTAGCGGTAGTGTTGTAATAAGCTACAAAATGCTGCTCACTTTCTCGCTCTGCTCGATAGTGAGCACGCAAGCGAGCCGTCATCAACACCATCTCGCTCTGCTTGATAGTAGTACAACAATAAGAAAAATATTGATAGATTTCGAGTTTTTTGTATAGAAAAATATATGTGGCTATTAAAAAGAGATTATGCCTCCCAATGATGATCTTCCAATGTCTTTTCTCAAGTATAAAGATAATGCTATCTCGCTACACTTTCCAGTTGAAAGACCAAGCTACAAAGAGTTGCTCCACTATCGAGCAGAGCGAGGTAGTGTCGACTTATTCACAACACACGGGTTTGATTTCTTTCTAGTTGGTTTCCACAAAACTCACTCTCCTTATTACCAGTAACTATTATCACGTGACACAGTAACCCGACCTGGTCCACATACATGTTTCTCTCAGCAAAGCGACACTATCGAGCGACATCAACTCGCTCTGCTCGATAGTGGAGCACACTGACATTATCTCGCTCTGCTCGATAGTGGAGCACACTGACATTATCTCGCTCTGCTCGATAGTAGAGCACACTGACATTAACTCGCTCTGCTCGATAGTGGAACACACTGACATTAACTCGCTCTGCTCGATAGTGTTGCTCGATAGTGTTGTTCGATAGTGGAGCAACACTTTGTAGCTTGTTACAACACTATCTCGCTCTGCTCGATAGTGTCGATAGTGGAGCAACACTTTGTAGCTTGTTACAACACTATCTCGCTCTGCTCGATAGTGTCGATAGTGGAGCAACACTTTGTAGCTTGTTACAACACTATCTCGCTCTGCTCGATAGTGTTGCTCGATAGTGTTGCTCGATAGTGTTATTCGATAGTGGAGCAACACTTTGTAGCTTGTTACAACACTATCTCGCTCTGCTCGATAGTGTTGCTCGATAGTGTTGTTAGATAGTGTTACTAGTCTTTTTGTTTCATCTGCTCTTCATGAGCTTTTTCCAAAAAATCAATAGTATTGTCATATCTCTCAAACTCCGATTGCAAAAGTGGCAAGTTGTTTTTCAAACTGTTTACGAACCCCAAATAGTCTTCATATGGCTTATTAATTTCGTCAAACTTGAATTGAGTAATATCAGTATAATCCTGTTCATTTTCCCTCTTTTGTTCTTGCTCAACTTCAAGATCTATCTTTGCCACAATTCGCGAGACTTGGTCATCCACGGACCGTGTAAATTCCTGATATATATCCTGAGCTCTTAGAGACAAAGACCGTTTCAACTTGGATATCTCCAACACCAACTCGTCATTGCGTATTAGAATCTGTCTCAATTTGTTATTTGTCGCCAAATCAAAAGGTTCGACGTTATCGTCATGACTATCCACTTTCAAAACTTCAAGTATTGAAGTTGAGCTCAAGTCTTCACCATCAATAATGAGCGACTGGATCAATCCTTGAAACGTTTGTGATAGGTAATTCTCCAAATCTCTAGCTACTATATCCATGCGTGGATCTGTTGATGGAATTCGAAGACTAAGTCGATGTATAAGATTCTGGAGAATATTGTTATATAGAATCTTGAATTCTTTTCTCGAAAGTGTCAATTTCCCTTCACCGTCCATTGAGAGATTCATCTTATCTGATAATGGTTTGAGGGGGGGGGGGGGGACCTGTCCCTTTTGTTTGATTAAAAAA